CTTCTACCAAATCACGTGGCTGCGCTTGTCTAGGCCTCTTGCCGAGCCAGCAAGGGCGTGGAAGGGTTGCGAGCATCATTGGTCATCGGCCTTTGAGAAAGAAGAGCGCCCGCAGCACTTCCTCCACATGTGCGGATCCTGGCGCGTTTTGAGGCTAGAAGCGCTCGCAGTGAGCGTTTTTCTTCTACCAAGTCACGTGGCTGCGCTTGTCTAGGCCTCTTGCCAAGCCAGCAAGGGCGTGGAAGGGTTGCGAGCATCATTGGTCATCGACCCTTGAGAATGAAGAGCGCCCGCTGCACTTCCTGTACATGTGCGGATCCTAGCGCATTTTGAGGATAGAAGCGCTCGCAGTGAGCGTTTTTCTTCTACCAGGTCACGTGGCTGCTCTTGTCTAGGCCTCTTGCCAAGCCTGCAAGGGCGTGGAAGGGTTGCGAGCATCATTGGACATCGGCCCTTGAGAATGAAGAGCGCCCGCTGCACTTCCTCCACATGTGCGGATCCTAGCGCGTTTTGAGGCTAGAAGCGCTCGCAGTGAGTGTTTTTCTTCTACCAAGTCACGTGGCTGCGCTTGTCTAGGCCTCTTGCCGAGCCAGCAAGGGCGTGGAAGGGTTGCGAGCATCATTGGCCATCGGCCCTTGAGAATGAAGAGTGCCCGCTGCAATTCCTCTACATATGCGGATCCTAGCGCGTTTTGAGGCTAGAAGCACTCGCAGTGAGCGTTTTTCTTCTATCAGGTCACGTGGCTGCGCTTGTCTAGGCCTCTTGCCAAGCCAGCAAGGGCGTGGAAGGGTTGCGAGCATTATTGGTCATCGGCCCTTGAGAATGAAGAGCGCCCGTTGCACTTCCTCCACATGTGCGGATCCTAGCGCGTTTTGAGACTAGAAGCGCTCGTTCTGAGCGTTTTTCTTCTACTAGGTCATGTAGATGCGCTTATCTAGGCCTCTTGCCAAGCCAGCAAGGGCGTGGAAGGGTTGCAAGCATCATTGGTCATCGACCCTTTAGAATGAAGAGCGCCCGCTGCACTTCCTCCACATGTGCGGATCCTAGCGCGTTTTGAGGCTAGAAGCGCTCATTCTGAGCGTTTTTCTTCTACCAGGTCACGTGGCTGCGCTTGCCTAGGCCTCTTGCCAAGCCAGCAAGGGCGTGGAAGGGTTGCGAGCATCATTGGTCATCGGCCCTTGAGAATGAACAGCGCCCGCTGCACTTCCTCCACATGTGCGGATCCTAGCTCGTTTTGAGGCTAGAAGCGCTCGTTCTGAGCGTTTTTCTTCTACCAGGTCACGTAGCTGCGCTTGTCTAGGCCTCTTGCCAAGCCAGCAAGGGCGTGGAAGGGTTGCAAGCATCATTGGTCATCGGCCCTTGAGAATGAAGAGCGCCCGCTGCACTTCCTCCACATGTGCGGATCCTAGCGCGTTTTGAGGCTAGAAGCGCTCGTTCTGAGCGTTTTTCTTCTACCAGGTCATGTGGCTGCGCTTGCCTAGGCCTCTTGCCAAGCCAGCAAGGGCGTGGAAGGGTTGCGAGCATCATTGGTCATCGGCCCTTGAGAATGAAGAGCGCCCGCTGCACTTCCTCCACATGTGCTGATCCTAGCGCGTTTTGAGGCTAGAAGCGCTTGCAGTGAGCGTTTTTCTTCTACCAGGTCATGTGGCTGCGCTTGTCTAGGCCTCTTGCCAAGCCAGCAAGGGCGTGGAAGGCTTGCGAGCATCATTGGTCATCGGCCCTTGAAAATGAAGAGCGCCCGCTGCACTTCCTCCACATGTGCGGATCCTAGCGCGTTTTGGGGCTAGAAGCGCTCGTTCTGAGAGTTTTTCTTCTACCAGGTCACGTGGCTGCGCTTGTCTAGGCCTCTTGCCAAGCCAGCAAGGGCGTGGAAGGGTTGCGAGCATCATTGGTCATCGGCCCTTGAGAATGAAGAGCGCCCGCTACACTTCCTCCACATGTGCGGCTCGTAGCGCGTTTTGAGGCTAGAAGCGCTCGTTCTGAGCGTTTTTCCTCTACCAGGTTACGTAACTGCACTTTTCTAGGCCTCTTGCCAAGCCAGCAAGGGCGTGGAAGGGTTGCGAGCATCATTGGTCATCGGCCCTTGAGAATGAAGAGTGCCCGCTGCACTTTCTGCACATGTGCGGACCCTAGCGCGTTTTGAGGCTAGAAGCGCTCGCAGTGAGTGTTTTTCTTCTACCGGGTCACGTGGCTGCGCTTGTCTAGGCCTCTTTCCAAGCCAGCAAGGGCGTGGAAGGGTTGGGAGCATCATTGGTCATCGGCCCTTGAGAATGAAGAGTGTCCGCTGCACTTTCTGCACATGTGCGGACCCTAGCGCGTTTTGAGGCTAGAAGCGCTCGCAGTGAATGCTTTTCTTCTACCAGGTCACGTGGCTGCGCTTGTCTAGGCCTCTTACCAAGCCAGCAAGGGCGTGGAAGGGTTGCAAGCATCATTGGTCATCGGCCCTTGAGAATGAACAGCGCCCGCTGCACTTCCTCCACATGTGCGGATCCTGGCGCGTTTTGAGGCTAGAAGCGCTCACAGTGAGCGTTTTTCTTCTACCAGGTCATGTTTTGCGCTTGTCTAGACCTCTTGCCAAGCCAGCAAGGGCGTGGAAGGGTTGCTAGCATCATTTGTCATCGGCCCTTGAGAATGAAGAGCGCCTGCTGCACTTCCTGCACATGTGCGGATCTTAGCGCGTTTTGAGGCTAGAAGCGCTCGCAGTGAGCGTTTTTTCTTTTACCAGGTCACATGGCTGCACTTGTCTAGGCCTCTTGCCAAGCCAGCAAGGGCGTGGAAGGGTTGCGAGCATCATTGGTCATCAGCCCTTGAGAATGAAGAGCGCCCGCTGCACTTCCTCCACATGTGCTGATCCTAGCGCGTTTTGAGGCTAGAAGCGCTTGCAGTGAGCGTTTTTCTTCTACCAGGTCACGTGGCTGCGCTTGTCTAGGCCTCTTGCCAAGCCAGCAAGGGCGTGGAAGGCTTGCGAGCATCATTGGTCATCGGCCATTGAGAATGAAGAGCGCCCACTGCACTTCCTCCACATGTGCGGATCCTAGCGCGTTTTGGGGCTAGAAGCGCTCGTTCTGAGAGTTTTTCTTCTACCAGGTCACGTGGCTGCGCTTGTCTAGGCCTCTTGCCAAGCCAGCAAGGGCGTGGAAGGGTTGCGAGCATCATTGGTCATCGGCCCTTGAGAATGAAGAGCGGCCGCTGCACTTCCTCCACATGTGCGGCTCGTAGCGCGTTTTGAGGCTAGAAGCGCTCGTTCTGAGCGTTTTTCCTCTACCAGGTCACGTAACTGCACTTTTCTAGGCCTCTTGCCAAGCCAGCAAGGGCGTGGAAGGGTTGCGAGCATCATTGGTCATCGGCCCTTGACAATGAAGAGCGCCCGCTGCACTTTCTGCACATGTGCGGATCCTAGCGCGTTTTGAGGCTAGAAGTGCTCGCAGTGAGCGCTTTTCTTCTACCAGGTCACGTGGCTGCGCTTTTCTAGGCCTCTTGCCAAGCCAGCAAGGGCGTGGAAGGGTTGGGAGCATCATTGGTCATCGGCCCTTGAGAATGAAGAGTGTCCGCTGCACTTTCTGCACATGTGCGGATCCTAGCGTGTTTTGAGGCTAGAAGCGCTCCCAGTGAATGCTTTTCTTCTACCAGGTCACGCGGCTGCGCTTGTCTAGGCCTCTTGCCAAGCCAGCAAGGGCGTGGAAGGGTTGCAAGCATCATTGGTCATCGGCCCTTGAGAATGAACAGCGCCCGCTGCACTTCCTCCACATGTGCGGATCCTGGCGCGTTTTGAGGCTAGAAGCGCTCACAGTGAGCGTTTTTCTTCTACCAGGTCACGTTTTGCGCTTGTCTAGGCCTTTTGCCAAGCCAGCAAGGGCGTGGAAGGATTGCTAGCATCATTTGTCATCGGCCCTTGAGAATGAAGAGCGCCTGCTGCACTTCCTGCACATGTGCGGATCTTAGCGCGTTTTGAGGCTAGAAGCGCTCGAAGTGAGCGTTTTTTCTTTTACCAGGTCACATGGCTGCACTTGTCTAGGCCTCTTGCCAAGCCAGCAAGGGCGTGGAAGGGTTGCGAGCATCATTGGTCATTGGCCCTTGAGAATGAAGAGCGCCCGCTGCATTTCCTCCGAATGTTATTGCAAATTCGACTAGCGCATGCTCAATTACACCTATCAGAGTCTTTTCGGCTTAGTTTTTGCGCAAAGAAAAGTTCGGCGTCCACGATTTTGGTTGTTTTTTCCGACAAATGCTTAGAAAGCGCATGAATCCCTATAGGCGTAGAGAAAAGCAATCAAGAACCTGAATGTTATTTCATATTCGAGTGGCATATGTTATGATTTTTTTCGAAAGTGTGTAACACTTTCTAAAAATGCGTATTGTGAAAGCGCAGCTGCCTGTAACGAAGCAAAGCAACGGCGAATTACAATTCGCCGAGTATATAACGAGGGTTGGAGGCCATTCGGCCTCCACCCACGACTTCATTTCATAACTTTGCAGTTCCAATTCCCACCCACCCACCCTAGCTGTAAATTTGTAAAACCATAGTTGGACGAGAATGTTGTATTAGAGCCTTCTCGGCTTGGTTCGTGTGCAAAGAATAGTCGGCGCCTGCTTAAATACGGTAGCGCATGAAACTCTATAGACGTAGAGAAAAGCATTCATGAACCTGAATTTTATTGCATATTCGAGTGGCTCATGTTCAAATTCACATATTATACCTATTGGTTCGTGCGCAAAGAAAAGTCTAGCGCCTATTATTTCGGCTACCGACAAAATCTTAAAAAGCGCATGAATCCCCATGGACGATAGTGGCTTATGGTGAGCGAAAGTATTCACCCTGCTGGTAGAAAATCTAAGAGATCACTCATGCTTTGATGAGCCAAAAAGCCTCCATATACTGTACCAGCAGTGGCAGCTGCATTTTGAGCCTATGAACCGTTACTCAACTTATATATACCGTACCACTTCAAGCAACACATGACTTCTGTCTCAGACGATATACTAGACCAAGCAACATTAATCTACGGTGGTCTCTTATACAACAGCAAGAGCCCGCCCGAAGCATCTGGGCACCTGGCAAACGGAAGCTCCGGGTCCGACTCATTGAACGGCGGCCCTCCCACATGCAGCCCGCCCGGGCACTGGTGCGGCTGGGGTGGGTGGTGGTAGCAGGGTTCCAAAGGGGCTTCCTGGCAGGTCTTGGCCGCAAAGAAGGCAGGGCGGCCGAAGAGCGACGAGAGGAGGTACCCAAAGGTGGACGCAGGGAAGACGAGAATGGTGTCTGAGGCAAGGGCGACGGTGTATATGTCTATGATGGCGTGCTGTAGCTCGGCGTCTAGGCCCGTTTGAGATGTCTCTGTGGTGAGCCGGTCCAGGGAGAAGGTGCCGTTGCTGATGATCGTGCTGTTGGTGATGGTGCTGCTGCTGGGGGGGATGCTGGCGACGGTGCTCACTGGGGTGAGATCCAATGCTGCATCGCTGCTGCTGGTGATGTTGCTGTTGCTGCTGTTGGTGGTGGTGGCAGTGGTGGTAGTGGTCCCTGTACTGGTGGGGATTGCAGCACTGGTGCTGTTGTCAGTAGTGGCGTTGTCAGGGCTGTCTGTGACAACAATCTTGGTGTAAGTGAGTGGGGGGGAGGATGAAGCATTGGGGAAGAGCAGCAGGGAGAGGTTGTACGGGGCAAACTCATTCAGAGCAGCGATAAGCACCACAGTCGAGCTGCTTGACGCACTCACACCCCCTCCACTGTCACTCATGCTGCCACTCTCGCCTCCCCTAGCAGCCTCAGCAGCGGCAGCAGCAGCAGCAGCAGGCGCCCCCCCTACTTCTAAAGCCCTAGCGACCGCAAGAGCAGCAGCGGTCCCCTCCTCTGACGCCACACCCATACCATACGCCGTTGCTTCCCCCGTCCCATTCAGTGCCCCCCCTCCACCGCCCACCGCTGCACCACCCTCACCCTCTTCCCCCACGCCTCCTCCCCCTGCCCCCACCCCACCAGGCTCGACTCCCGCCTCCCTCTCCCCATCCCCTTTCTCCCTCTCTCGTCTCGCCGCCGCCACCACATCCCCCTGCATGACCTGCACTATGCACTCTGCAGCCTGCGCGATAATCCCCTCGCTGCTCTGCCGCAGCTGCAGCCCCACCCGGGCCGCGGCCGGCGCTACCCGGTGGTGAATGTTGTCCGTTATGGCCGCCCAGAGGCGGTTGTTGGGGAACATGATGAGCTGCGAGACAGTCTGGAAGATGCGACCGGAAGGGAAGAGGTCGCGGATGTGGCGGCGGAAGGAGGGGTGGTAGAGTAGGGCTGGGAGGAAGTATTGATTGGATCGGAGCAGGAGGGAGGGCACGCGTGCGAGCCATTGCTGTTCTGATTCGCAGAAGAAGATGCTCGTGTTGGCCATGTTGTGCTGTAGGTTGATGTTCGCTCTGATGGGGGCACGCGGGGAGAGGGTGGGTGGATGTGCGTGAATGAACATATGGGGAGAGGGGATGGGAGGAAGAGTAGGGAATGGGATGGTCGGGATGGAATGAGGATACGGGGGACACGAGGGATGAAGAGTGGAGGGGAGGGGAGGGGAGGGGAACGGGAAGGGGAAAGGGGAGAGGCGACAGGTCAGGAGTGGAGCAAGCACAGTGAGAAGGGGATGAAGGGGGCGGGAAGGAAAAGAGGGAGGCAGAGGCACTCGCACACGTTGGGTAAGGGCATGGTGTCACTGGTGCCGTTCTGCATGGCCTTGACGCGCTCTTGAAAGTACGGATACGCGAGCTTGATGTGCAGCACCTCCGCGTCCCACAGCTCGCCCTTCACGTCTGAGAACACGAACCACGGCGCGCCCTCAAACGGCTGGCACATCAGCTTCCCTGGCCCGCGCTCCGTCAGCAGCAGAAACACGCGGTTCGTTAGCAGCGCGTACACAAACGCGGACACCAGCGAGATGTACTGGTTCCCCTGCCCATCCCCGGGGCTGAAGTGCCATAGCAGGTACTTGCACTGCGTCGCGTTCGCCCCGCGCAGCTTAGACTTTAGCGACGTGATGTTTTCCTTGGCGTCGCAGTCGCGCCGGTACTCGTGGTACGCGCGCAGCTTGCGCTTGAGAGTTTCGGACCGCTCCGCCATGCCATGGCTGCCCGCGTAGCACGGGATCTCCGCCTTGCTCCAGCACAGGTGCGGCGGGCGGTGGTAGCGGCGCGCGTGGTCCGCGGAGCGCGCGAGGGGCGAGTGTAGCGGGTCCGACGAGTCGCACTCTGGAACGCGAGAGGAGCGCGCGGGGAAGGGGGGGAAGGAAGTAGAGAGCGGGTAACGGGAACAAGCGGGGTAGGCAATTTTCGCGATGGGGAGGGGAACGAGGAGCGAGAGGGAAGCAAACGATTCTGAATTGGCACGGACAGGCTGCCGTTGGATGAGTGCGCAGCGATCCGCACCGTGCAGTGTCGGAGCGTCGGTGGACGGCGCGACTGGAAGAACGGATCCCAGGACAATCACCGCGACTAGCGGCAGCAGCGCCGCGCCGTTGCTCCGCGCGCGAAACGCGCCGACGCTACCGCGACCTCGCGAGCCGGTCATTGCGCGCGCGGGGGGCGGGCGCACGCAACGGAAGGTGCGGAACGGGCATGAACGAGAGGATGAAGTGAGGTAATGTTGAGGTGAGCGTTGATTGCGGGCCGGCAAGTTCGGACCATACAACTTATCCAGTCTGAAATGCTGGTGGAGCAGGCGATGCGCGATGCGATGCCATGGTGATGGGCTGTTCTGCTGTGGTGCCTGTGAGGCGACGGCGAGACGACGAAGGTGGCGACGATCGATGTTACTTGGCGAAAGAGGCTTTCAATTCAATCAAGCTGCTCAATCTGTTGCCTACTACGGTAGTTCTAGACAAATAGGCATTGGAGGGTTGCTGTGGTGGCACTGGCTTCGTACAGCCTACTACACACGAGTGGCAATCCACAGTATGGGCTGATATACAATTTCACAGGGGTGATTCACAAGATGGGATGATGATGATGGAAGATGCCCTACTCACAATATGCTAATGATATTCACTTGCCTACAAAAGTACTGCAAGATACAGTGCAAGATTGTTGCACGTTCCAACAAGCCGGATCTACATGCGTTGGGCCTGACTAGATGCCTGGAGACGCATGACAGGAGTGAATGGGTGCACAGCTATGCGTATGCGGAGGATGCATGCATCATGGCATGGTGTAGGCGAGTGAGGAGCGAGGAGGGGCGTGTGGGGGGGAGTGGGTGAGGGAAGGAGAGAGAGGGAGAGCCAGCAAGAGAGCAGTGCTGAGGATGCAAGTGAATGATGAAGTCACTAGCTGCAGGTGATTCCACGGCAGTGCACAATCCATCCGATGAAGAAGCAGGCGCAGACGATGATGCCTATAAGCACGGTGACGATGGCACACTGCAACGCAGCGCAAGAAGAACACACACACACGACACAAAACACATACGCACCAGGTCAGCAAACACAAAAAGGATCAACTGCGATGGACGGGGATGGGAACGAACAAGGATCACCACTCCATTAAGCATGCAGCCGTATGTCACCACACCGCTTGTCTGAATGCGAAACCGCGCAGCAGCATGGGAGGGAACACGAGCATCAGCACATGTGCGTACCTTGTAAAACATTTGCCTGCGAGAAGAGGCCGACGCACGGGCTCCTGCAGCAAGGGAGTTCTGGAGGCAGCGAACCAAGGGGCAGGGCACGCAGGCATGGAGGGGATGGGTGGCAGAAGAAATAGGTGCGTTTGGTGATACAGAAACCGCAAGAGCATCGTGAGGTTTCAGTGTTGAGACAAATCTCCCAGGATAGGTACTGGGCATTTGGACTCGTTGGGGAAAACAATGGGCGAATGCTTGAGCACACATGTGTCCAGCACACATACATACACCCACGCACGCATACCTTGCTGTGAGCATCAGACGCCCCACGCGCTTGCCTCAAGGGTTCCTCCCCCACGTCTATATACACTGCTGCATCCTTCACCCCATCACCCGTCTCCCTCCCCATGCCCTCTCCTGCAGCTGCCTGTGCGGCCGGGAGTGTGGTTCCAGGGGAGTGCGGCATGAGCAGCGACTTGCTGCCCTTGTGCTGCTGCAGTCCTGTCAGCAGCGAATGAATCTCTGCCACCATCACCCTCTCCGCCTCTTGCTGCTGCTGCTGCTGCTGCTGGGGCATACTCGCATGCTGCTGCTCTTGTTGCTGCTGTGCAGTGTGGGCCGTGTGGGGCAGTATCATGTGAGGGTCTGGCTGTACTCCCCTCATAGCAGCTGCCAGCACTGAGCATGCTGCTGCTGCCGCCGCAGCCTCTGATTCTGCATCCGCTGCCGCTTCCACACTACTGCTTCCGCTCACCTCCTCCGTGATCTCACACACGCCTTGCTTCTTCCGGTGCGGCGCCTCACTCCCACCCCTTCCTCCACTACCCTCCTCCCCTCGCATCCTCCTACCCAACCCAAACATCGACCCCGAGTTCCCTCGCTTCACCCTCGCATCCTCCACATCCCCACTCGCAGCATCATCGTCCCCCTCTCCCCCAGCTCTCCGCCAGCTACCCTCCCCCCCGCGTATCCTGCCTCCCAGGGCAGCAGCAGCAGCCAGCGGCCCCTCGGTCCAACGAGAGATCAGATCCACAAACTGCCTCCGCACCTCTCCGGAGTTTTGCTCCCTGCCCTCCCCTCCTTCCACTCCTCGCCTCGCTGCCGCTGCCGCTGCAGCAGCCGCCAGGCCCTCAGTCCCTGAGCCAGCAGCAGCAGAGCACGTGACCTCTGATTCCCCGCGACAAGCCGCAGCAACCCCAGGGGTGGACGAGGAGGGGAGGTAAGAGGAAAATGAGAAGGACGCGTGGGGAGTGTCGTCAGAAGGGAAGGACTCAGCGGGAGAGACGCGGGAGAGGTCTGGGTTGAGCTTGAGGGAGCGGCCGAGGTGGTGGGACCAGCTTGGGGAGGTGGCAGTGGCAGTGGCGGGGAGCAGGTGCTGGTAGTGCGGGTGCGACGGCCGTGAGAGGAGCTTCGGGTCTTGGTTCTCCATGCCATCGCTCCCACCTGCAGCACCAGCGCTGCCTCCAGGTGCATTAGCAGCACCACCCACGCACCCAGCGGTTTCAGCAGTGGCTGTGGTGCCTCCCCCAAGAGCAGCAGCAGCAGTGAGGGTGGCCACTGAACCAGGAAGTAGCTCCACCGACCATCCTTTTCTCAGAACCTTCCCCCACTCACTTCCCAGCCGCTTGGGGAAAACATCGGAGTTGGATTTCGCGCTGAGAGAGCGGTTGTGATGGATTTCAGAGGATTCCAAAGGAGCTGCGCCTGCATCCAGCTCTGAGAGGCATCTCAGTGGTCTCCCTCCCTCGTTTCCACCTGCTGCTTCCTCTCCTCCCTCCTGCAGCTCTGGCAGCAGCGCCTGCAACGGATGTGAGCAGAGAACAGGGTCGGTGTGATGCCCTTGATGCTGCTGCTGCAGCTGGTGGTAATGGAGCGATTGAGAATGGTTCTGTGCGGGATAGTAACTCGCGGACCAGCCCTTCTTCCCTTCCAGCACTGCCTCGCCGTGCCCACCCTCCATCTGCACAGGCACCCTACCCACAAACTCCCCACGCTGTGGCTCTTGAAAGGAACGGCACCGAGGGCCTATCCTCCCGCTGCCAGCATTCACAGCAGCTCCAGGGGCAGCAGCAGCCGCCGCCGCTGCTGCTGCGGCCGCCGCAGCAAGCGACTCCGCCGCAACCCAGGCCTGGCGGGAGGTGTGGGCGTGGGAGAGGGGCGCGGAGGAGGGCATCAGCGCTTGTATCTCTGCACTGCGTGCTCGTCGCTCCTCCGCTGACCAGCTCCCTGATCCCCCCCCTCTCCCTGCTCCCGCTGCTATCCTTGGTTCCTTGGCTCCCAACCCCCCCCTGAAACTGGGCACGGTTCGTTTCAGCCCAGCCCATGTGCCTGCTTCTGCCTTCCTTGATACTGCTCCCCCTTCAGCAGCCGCCTCTGCTGCCGCAGCCGCTGCTGCTGCCGACGATGCAGAGGCCGCTGCAGCAGCAGCAGCTGCTGCTGCTGCTGCTGCTGACGCGCCATGAGGAGACACACTATCATCTCCGCAGGCTGCGGTTCCTCCCCGCTCCTGCGCCTGCTTCTCCTGCGCCTCTTTCTCCTCCGCCTCCTCCTGGCAGATAAGCTCATTGATCATATCCAGTTCATCTTCCAACTGCCGCAATGACTGCTCCTTCATCTCCCTCATCTCCTGTTCTGCCTGCGCATCTGGCCCGGCAGGCTGCACCAGGTACGCCCTAGGCGCGTCCGCATACAGCAGCAGCGGCTCCTCTTCTGCTGCCGGCGCGCGCAGGTGCGCTGCAAGCGCTCCCAGATGAAGCTCTGCTTGCAACGCAGCGTCGTCGAGTTTCGAGTCCTTGCTAGTAGCTGTAACAGCTGATGATTCTGTTCCGTGTGCTGCTTCCCCTGCTTCTCCCCCTCCGCCCACCTTTTCCCCACGCGCGGATTGCTGCAGCAGCAGGTGGTGGTGGTGCAGGGGGCGGGCGTGGGCGTCGAGCACGGAGGAGAGCAGCGCATAGCCCTTGCCTCGGTCCAGCACTCCGGGAAACGTCCGCGCCACCAGCACTGCTGTCACTCGCGACCACGCTGCTGCTGCTGTTGCTGCTGCTGCTGTTGCTGCTGCTGTCGCTGCTGCAGGTGCTGCTGCTGGTGGTGATAATGGTGATGAGGCGACTGGGGAGGATGATTCTGATGGGGGGTCGGCAGTGCGCGCAGCATGCATGAGCGGCGACTCCTCCCTGTGCGGGCTCACAGAGCGAGGGAGAGAGCGCGCGGAGGCGTGCGGGGGGGGAGACGGCGCGCGGGGCGCGGACGGGGAGTGCGCGTCGAGAGACAGGTGTCGCTCGTGGCGGGTGCTGAGGCCGGACGCGAAGAGGGGCATGCAGCCCGGAAGGCCGCGGCGTTGCTGGTGGTGGTGGTGGTGGTGGGAGTGGTGCGAGTGTGGCACGTGTTGGTGCAAGAGTAGCACCATGGTGTTGCCATGTGCCTGGTAGAACACACAGGCAGGGCAGAGAGCAAGCGGAGAGGGAGCGGGCGGAGAGGGAGCGGGCGGAGAGGGAACGGGCGGAGAGAGAGCGGGCGGAGAGGCGAGGCGGAGAGAGGACAGGGGCAGAAGGGATGAAGAGAGAGGAGAGGGAGTGGTGAGGGAATGGTTCGCAACGAAATTCGATAAAACGCAAGTCGGTCTGCTACCGCATCGCACGCACGCGAGGCAAGATGCAGACATGCCATCTCGTGCGCCGTTTCACTGTCTCTCCCTCGAATCCCGTCCCATCCACCAAGGCTTCACCCATTCACCCGTGACACCTCACCTCATCCCTAACGTCCCGTTCCTAACCTGTCATCCCTAACCTAGCAAAGGGCCTTGCAACAGCAGCGCGACCTAAGGCAGCAAGCAACATGCGTCGGGTCTCGTCCCATGGAACCAAGAAAGGGGGAGGTGGCGGAGGAGAGAGAGGGGAAGACGGAGGGGAGGGAGAGAGGAAGGCATATACGCAAATTCGCACCTCGGGCCGCCACAGTATGTCGAAGAACTCACTATGGAGTACGGGTTGGCGTGCGGTGGCGCGGTAAGGAGCGCGTCGTGCGCGACGGGGAGGTAACGGTCGTCGCCCACGTGGGTGGCGACGAAGCGACCGTCGACAGCCACGCCGAGCACCAACACCAGCGCCTCCTCCTTCCTACTACTGCCAACCTCCTCTCGTTTCCCATTCGCCCCTCGCCGTCCCTCGCGCCGTCCGTCGCGCCCGTCGTCGTCGGCAGTTCTGGGTGGCGTCCCTTTCAGTCGACCACGGTCCTTGGACCATCCTTTCATGGCGTCGCTCCGTTCTCTCCTGCTCTCGCACTCTCGTGACCTATAGTTCTATCGCGCTATCGCTCGTCGATTCCTGGTCTCTAGCAGGTCCTTTCGTGCATAGGTTATTGCTCTCTCAGCACCGATAAAATAACACGCGTCGCTTTACCGATAATCCTAATGGGGGAAAGCCGGTAGAAAATCATGAATTCATTGGAAGGCCGCAATTCTGTCTAAACGACTCTATTGATTGACGAATCCAAGACCTTCGAACTGGAACTACATGCAGGCCCTATATTCTACTAGAAACTATCGTTAGGTCTGAACAGCCGTGAGTTATTAATCGGACCAACTAAAACTGGTGGAAGTGAAATGAGATTTTTATCGGACCTAGACGTGAAGGGTAAGGGTCAAGTGGCGTGAAGTCAAGCGCCTGCGGTTTACCTCCTCTGGCAAGCTTGCGCGACAGTGAGCAAATCCAGGTGGAAGGAGAAGAGAAATCGGCGGAGACGGCTGTGCTGCGTTGGGAGGGGAAGTTCCGGGGGAAAAGTGTCGCATGAGGGGTGTGGGGAAAGAGGGGGAGGGGGAGGGTGACGGCGGGAGGAGGTGTGGGTGGAGGCAGGGGGAGGGGGAAGGTGGAAGAGTGTGTGGCGGGGAAGGGGGATTGCTGTACAGTACAGTGCAGTGTAGAGCGCCAAGCCAAGATTCAGGAACGGGGAGGCATCGCATGTGTGGTTGACGTTCAGAGGAGGAATCGAGGAGAAAATCAATGACGAATTCAAAGATGCACGCTGACTGCGCTGCTGAGTATGCTTGACTCGCTGACTAACAATCCGTCTTACTGGTCACTGGACAACATCCTGTCAACCCCTGCGGAGAGTGTTCGCGTCGCACCTTGGGCAGGGCTGAACGCCGTGATGAGGTGCAGTCTTTTCTACTGCCCGTGGTTAGATGTCGGACAGCTGTCGATGGCCGTCCGACGTCCCGCAACGTTTTTCTGCGACCGACACTAGGCGGCGAAATGCCTACAGCTGAATCCTCTCCTTTGGGAAAAAAAACTTGAAGCGGTCGACAAAATTGCAGCAGGGCTGAACGAAAGTGGTTGTCAACCGCGATACAAGAAAGCGACCGGGCTGACCATGAAACCGCGATACAAGAAAACTCACCAGAGCGGGACAGTTGGAAGGAAAATAAGCACAATAAGGATTTGAGTGGACTTCGGTCCAACAGCTCAGCAACATGAGCAATCGGTCAACAAGAGTCACCTGGATTGAAGTCCATAAATACACTAATCGGTAAGACAACACATACCGACTAGCTTTCAGAAGTAGCATACTGTCATTTCGGAGTTTGGTCAGAGCAGAATTTGTAACTGTCATCAATAATGCCACACAAACCACAATATTGAATACTTTCGACTGCGCCCGTTTGCTTCCGTATTGAGCTACACATACATTTCAATGTGGTCATTCTATTGTTACAAATACACCAAAAATTGAAAGAGCATGTATAGGGAAAATGATTCAGTGTTACTTGTAAGATAGCCTTTTACAGTTCTCGTGCACTGGTACTACGAGAATTTCAGACTAACGTTGAGCCGTCTGGTTACCACCACCCATCCTTAATGCACGCGTGAAAGCCAACGATTCGGCACTCACACACCCTCCGACCGTTCAACAGCTCACGTCCTTCTTGTCCCGCCGTCATTGGAGGATTTCACGAACCAGTTTCGGCGACCCGTTTCACATACTCCAGCGTGGCGCCGCGGCTTTCTTGTATTTGACAAGGCAAGTGGAGAATTTCAAGGCGCTTCCAGCGCACGAGCGGGCAAAACAGCGCGCCCATTGAGATGAAAGGAAGTATTGGCTGGTTGATGGGCCACAAATTGGAATTTTGGTTGGGAATCACTGTTTTATAACCTGCCCTCCGACAAGGCGGCGCGGAAAGCGGTGCGATGTTCGCCACTTTGCCCCGTAAACGAAGCGCGAGCGGCCCATCCTCAACCAAGCCATCTCCCACATCCTCAGTGAACATCGCAACATCCGTGCGGCGCGGGGGCATGATATGACACGCACACGCTCTCCCGATTTCCTCAAATTCAAATTCTGCCCCATCTTGTTCCTCCTCACACATAGCGTAGCAGGTATATTCGCAAATATCCTTCATCACTCCTACTGTGGGGCTGTCCCGCTAACTTGTGTCGGTGGCTGCTCCTCGTTGCCATCGTGTCACTGGAGTGTGATACCCATCTGATCGTTGTCTAAACAGTTTCACGAAGTTCACCACATTGGAGCTTTAACCCTCAGGCTTTTCCCATATTGGTAACAGCGGGGAAGCTGCCACTACAGTGTTCCTTGTGAGACCGTTGTCAAGAATTGCTCGAAACTCGTCAAGGTGTCTCGAAGTGCCCTTTCGCGTAGCCATCTCCGCTTCGCATCTAGCCATGACGCGGCTCAAGTCAAGTCGAGCCTCACTGCAACCGGTTTTTCTCGTGCTCGCTCTCTTATCCGCTTTCTGCGCGCCCCTGTTGGCGCACGCCGAATGCCCTGAGGAAGCTGTCTCTCTCTGCAGAGTCGCCGACGATCCCGCTCTCTGTCAACACGCAATCTGCTCTCGTGCAAGCGATGCCGCAACGTACGCCGTGCGAGGCCGTTCTCTTTCGGAGGGACCGTCACGAACCAGCGATTTGCTGACCTCGCTGGCGGTGGAGGCTGCGGAGGCGGAAGTGCGGGGGCTGCGCGGGCAAGTAGCGGTGCTGGAGGCGGACACGGACAGCGGAAAACCGCAGCGTTTGGTGGCGCGTGATTGCATCGACCAGGTGAGCCACACATCCTCCCACGATGCAACCGCGTGTAAAGTCTCAAGCTGCTTTGTTCCCTTCATGAAAAGCTTGTTTTCTGACTCACGCTCGTCGCATTGTCTCCGTGCTGCAGCTTGACATGGCTTCCAACTACCTAGTCAAGGCGTACGAGTCTCTCCGCTCCAACGAGGAGCCCGAAGGCCAAGCGCACTGGGTCTCGGCCGCGCTCGCGCTCACCTCTCAGTGCACCGCCGCGCTCACTGCGGCCTCTGCTCCCGTAACCCCCACCGTCAAGCTCGCTTTCTCCGGTGTTACTGCTTCAAGCGCCTCCTTCAACGGCGACGACAGCGCGGGGCTCACCGCTGCGACGGGCGCTGCTACCGGCGCTAACGCCATGGCGACTGTGTCTCGATCCATGAGCACGGGTCTGGGCAAAGAGTGCAAGGATTACATCGCGAACGCGTTATCCGTCGTGGCTTCCCTTCGAGGCGTGGAGGATGACGACGGCGATGATGGCGAGGAGCCCCCGGAGCTAGCGGCGGGAAGTGCGGGGAGGAAGGTGCTTGAACGAGAAGGAAGCACCGAGAGCATTCCTGAGATGGATACCATCAGCGAGGATATGGCGGCTGTGATTGCGGAGTTCGGTGGAAGCGCGGAGGAGGTCAATAACGTGCGTCGCGGCGGGAGGAAGTTGATTGGCGGAACGATTAATCGGAGGGCCGAGAGGATTCTGCGAGGCATGGGAGTGTCGCGTGCGACGGCCGGCACGTCCGCGAGCGAGACGAAGGGTCGCCCAGATTGGGTGGACGAAAATGAGGAGAGGCAGCTGCGAGAGCTGCAGCACTTTATGCGACACCACTATCGCACGCTTCGTGAGTTGTTTCCAAGCAACTTTTCGCAGCACTGGGCAGCGAACCGCGGGCGCACGCTCGTCGTGCCAATGCCGCCCGCACTCAACGCCGCAATCAGTCAGCTCGACGTCACTCCTTCGCCAAATCCTCTTGCCAACACCGCAGCCACAGCAGCCGCAGTTACGGTTACTGGGCCTGTGCCGAAAGCCACACCAAAGACCGTGCCGGTTCCTCCCAAGACCGCTACTAAGACCGCTCCCAAGACGGCTCCTAAAACCGCTACTAAGACCGCTCCTAAGACGGCTGCTAAAACCGTTCCAAAGGCCGCTCCAAAAACCCTCCCGAAAGCTGATCCTAAGGCCGTTCCTAAAACCGTTCCTGCCACCGCTCCGAAAACCCTTCCCAAGTCCGCTCCCTTGACCCCTGCGAAGACCGCTCCCAAGACTCCTCCCAAAACGGCCCCTAAGGCTGCACCAAAGACGGCTCCTAAGGCTGCTCCGAAGACCCTCCCCAAGCCATCCCCTGCGACCGTCAACAAGACCGCGCCCAAGACCGTGCCAAAGGTCCCTACTAAGACCAGTCCTAAGACCCCCGCTACTGCATCGCCCAAGGTCCCGCCTAAGACGGCACCCAAGGCGTCGCCGAAAGTAGCACCGGGGATCAAGGCGCCTGTTGCAGGGCCCGGCGTGGCGGCGGAATCCCTTCCTCCCCCTCCTGCCCAGTCGAACGTGTTCGAGGCGGCGTCGACGATAAAGCTGCCGACGCTGCAGCCAGACTACATCGTGTCCAAGGACGGACAGAGCGGCCACTACGACACGGTGCAGGTGAGGCTCGAGCAGTTGTGGTTCATCAAGGGCTTGCTCGACGACTGTTCACGTCGAGGGCTTCGCGTTGTGAAAAGAAAACACGAGCGTCCGTTGTGCTTTCTCAATCCGCGCTCAGGATCTTTGTGTTTGACTTGTTGCTTTTCTTGCTCATGTATGCTCCTCTTATACACCTCTCGCTTCCGCTGCTCCCGCTTCTCCCGCGCGCAGAAAGTGATGGACCAGCTCGGGATGACGATGCTGGAGAATCGGCGCAAGGTGATTTTCATCACCAAGGGCATCTACAAGGAGAAGGTGACTCTTCGCAAGGACAGGATCGTCTTTCTGGGTGAAGGGCCCAGGCTCACCAAGATCGCCTACGACGACAGCCCCCTCAAGGGATCCACCGTCTTCGACTCCGCCTCTGTCGGTACGTTGCATACGCGCTGTCAGTGATTTGCTCGTCCGCCTCGGTAACATCGCGCATGGTTTCCGTTTTCCGCCTTTTGTTGGCCGGTTTGTCTGTGTAACACTGCCGTCGCTGTAACCCGGACTGAGACATGGGTTGGTGTGTTCCGGCAGGCATCAACGCGAACGAGTTCACAGCGATGGGCGTCACGTTCATAAACACGGCGGGGCCCAGGGCGGGGCAGGCCATTGCGCTGCGCTGCGAGGGCGACAAAAGCGCGTTCTACGACTGCCTGTTCCTGGGCAACCAGGACACGCTCGCGCCCAACGTGGGCCGGCAGTTCTTCAAGAACGTGGGCGTGCTGGGGTCGATCGACTTTGTCTTTGGCGTCGCGTCCGCGGTGTTCGAGGACTGCACATTCGTCATGCGCAAACCGCTGCCCGGGTACCAAGGCTGCGTGTCGGCGCAGGGGCGCGACAAGAAGAAGGACCCGTCGGCGTTCGTGTTTCTAAGGGGCCGCGTGATTGGCGAGTCTGCCGGCCAATACGGGTTTCTGGGGCGGCCATGGTGGCAGTACTCGAGGTCCATCTTCATCAGCGTGTACCTCGGACCGGTGAGACTCTCCTTCAGATTGTACATTTTCAGCAGCCTGTTTCCCTTGGGATCTACAGCCTTGAGGGTCCGTTCCGTTTGAATTTTGCTCACTGAAATGCTTTTCCTGTTTTCCTATTTCAGGTGGTTAGCCCCGGTGGGTGGTTGGAGTGGGACTATGGCGGTGGGAAGAAGACGACCTGGGGCGGCAATCCCTACTTGGCAGAGTACGGCTCTTATGGCCCAGGTAGCAAGGGACCCAGAGTGGCGTGGGCCAAGCCCGGCAAACTTCCGTACAAGCAGACATGGAGGTACTACCCATCAAGACTGCTGGATCTCAACAGCTGGGTCAGCCAAACCTTGATTCCGTACCCTGCGAAGGCCTAGAGCATGCAGCAGCTAGCAGCTAGGAGCACCGCCACCTCCTTTCCCTGCCTCCTCTTGTACCCTCCTACTGAACCAATAATGAGGGAACCCGCCTGCTCAGCTGCACAAGGTGGTGCCACAGCAGGATAGTTGGAGGCCTTGTTGACACTCTGCTCTCAAATAAAGGCGCATGCATTAGGTACTGTTAGTGTCAAGAATTATAGGAAGCCTGAATTATGCTCTTGTCCTTAGAGCTAAATTCATCTACCTAACTTTGGTGTTGATCTTCCCTAGAACTACGTTGGATCTCCTTGGAAAAGTAAGAACCCTACAAATGGGAACAAAGAATCAAAAAAAAAAAAAATATTTTCTCGGCTCATACTCGTTCATAGACTCAGCTCGCGTAGTGTCATATTTCGTCCATTTTGCCTATTCAATTGTCACCTATATTCAAACCACCCTACCATCATGCCATGCAACTGGCATTTGTTCTGTTTTGTTTAGAGGAGCTGATTCGCTGAGTGTAAGCTGACATCAATGGATAACACTTTTTCCAGCAATTGACACTGACCTCTTTACGAGCCGCGCGCGGGAAATGTCAAGGCTGACAAACCTCTTGATGACTTGAGCCGTTGTGAACCTCGTTTCAGACACCCACGTGGCAGCTTCGTGCAGAGTCGCAAAACTCATCGCCAAGGTCTCTGGGGCTCGACGACCCAATCCAAATCCGCTTCCGTCGGAGGCGACTTCTTCCTGCGACCGTTCCTCTGCCCCGTCCTTACCAAGGCACGTGCAAGGGCGGTGTGATGGTCAGATGTTCGGACCGCGTAACCACAGGCAGCTTCGTTCGCACTCTATTCCAGCTTCGAAATCTGAGAGCTCCAGCAACGAGATCTTAGCCGCTGGTTTTCCAGAAATCCAAGCTCGGAGGAAGGGTAGCTTCCATCGAGCCGTCCAAACGTAGCGAGGGTGGACGAAGCCCCTCACTCACGAGTCACAACCTGCTTCACACGTCGCGTCCACCCCGTCCGTACCTTACCAGCCAAACCTCCAGTGACTGCCCATCTCACCACGACGACTGCGGGCGGGACCAGTCCCTCCCCGTGACCCTCGATTGTGGGCTTGCTTCTTGGGGTCTTCAGCCCGCCTGGGCGGTGAATTACATGATTGTCGAGCTTGATTGCAAGTATCTCGAGGTTGAATCTCGCTCCTACGCAGCTCTTCATCTCCGCTTATTTTTCATGTAGCCGCGGTGGTCAGGTGATGATGTTAATCGTTACAATAGCTTTAGGAACCACCTATTATAATTAACCTATATCGCTTTCTGTGTCGAAATCCACTGCTTAGAAACGATGGCGTTGCGAACTAGCAACAACGCGTTCGCGGAGATGGATTTCCCGAACCCCAAGCTTCAGATTCGCACTAAGCCACGTTCCAAAAGCCCTGAAAAAGCTCGCCAGCAATCCCCTTCTCGTGCTCCTACTCGCGGCAACCTGAGTCCGCAAAGAGGCCAACCAAGCCCGGGCCGCCGCAGCTCCGCCAATGGCCGGGACTCTGGCGCCGCTCCCGCTCGCAGAGACTCCTACGGCACTTCCGCATCGGCGCGCGAGCCCGAAGCAGCTCGGCACTCGATGGGGCACAGCAACAGCCTTGGAGGACTGAGCAACCTTGGCGGCCTAGCATCCGACCGTGTGGGCGGGGGCCGCCGTGCCTCTGACCTTCCGCCTCCGCCTGTGGAAGAAGTGTCGCTTCAGGCGCCGTTCCCCAGCAGCTGGCTCGCGAGCGGGCTCTCGTCGGACGATCTCCGCGAATGTGCATATGAATTGCTTGTGAATGTTGTCGGCCCGAAGCCCGCGCCGGTCAACCGGAACGCGGCGGCGGCGCGGAAGCAGCAGAATAAAGGAATTATTTCTGACGAGATGAAGGCGGTCTTGCGTCTCAAGGCGGGGAGCGATCCGGGAAAGGACGGCGCCGCGGCGCTGACACCGTTGGATGTGGTGCGGCGGCAGCTGGATATATCGGAAGCGTGCGATGAACGCACGAGGGCTGCGCTGATACGCGCGCATGCGGTGAGTAATACGAAATGCTCTCTGTCACCCTCTGGGTTGCTAGTGCTGCTGACGTCGTACTTTAGATTTTAAAATGGACGGCTAGTGAGAAAAGTGGAGGAAGTCGCAAGAATCTACTCACGTGGATTGCTGTTTACCGCCTCATCGTACCAGTTGAGAGAAATACCAGCATCGTCAGACACAACTAATCTCTCTTTGGCTGCGCGAGAAGTTTTACCCATCGGCGATCTCTTTCGCTCCACGTTTTGCATTCCTTCTCTTGACCCTCCGTGCTACCTCGCCTCGCTAATCACCCCTTTCCTGCATTACTTACCTGCCCCTTACAATCCACATGCATGCCGTCTCCGACTCTCCTCCCGTCCCGTTCGTCGTGCGTGCATCGCGGCCCGTTTCAGTCGGCAAAGAAGCCGGAGAGTCTGGTGGTGCCTCTCGAGTTGCTGTGCCAGCTCAACATCGCCGACTTCCCCTCTCAACGCGACTACTCCCGCTGGAAGCGCCGCCAGCTCATGCTCCTCGACCAAGCCACAGCGCGCCATCCGGGCCGCGCTGCCCCATCGTCCTCCGCCTCCTCCGCCACGCCCCCCCCGAAAGGCTACAACCGCGACAAGGCCGACAGCGCCATGCGACAATTGAAGCAGCTTATAGCGGAGCTGACGTCGGGGCAGCGGGACATGCAGGAGACGGCGGCGCGGCAGGCGCTGCGCAACGCGGTGACGACGGTGGTGGACATGCCGCTCGCAAGCGGCGGAAAAGGCGGGGGCCTCCCCGCGGAGGGGCGGTGGGCGGACGGGTGGCCGCTGAACGTGCGGCTGTACGCGACGCTGCTAGGGTCCGTGTTTTCGGGGCTGCAGGCGGCGACGCTGGTGGAGGAGTTGGAAGAGGTGTTGGAGATCCTGGGGAAGGTGTGGCCCGTGCTGGGCATCACGCCTCTCGTGCACCGCTGCGTGTTCGCGTGGCTGTTCCTGAAGCACTACGTGTCGTCCGGGCAGAAGGAGCCCGCGCTGCTCGTCGCCGCGGATTTCCAGGTGCGTGGGGCCACTTTCAAGAATGTCTCAATAACGTTTCCAGGTGCGCGGGTACGGGGCATGGGGTTGGTTCCAGGTGGAGAGGAGGTGGGAGTGTGAAAATTGGGAGTACTTGTGGGGGGATGCTGAGGTGGATGCATGTGATAGAACGCGTCCTAATGGCGATGTAGGGAAGGGGAACGGTAATGACGAATGCAAAAGAACCTGGAAAGAACGTCGCGACTTGGAATGCCTCGATGATACAGTAAGGAGAACGAACGCTGTGGTGGAGCGAACCAGACTGCGACTAGGGAATACTATGCGAACCGCGACGCCGGAAACAAAATACAGGAACCCTTTTGATGGCATTTCCTCCCTGTTCCATCCCCCCTAACTCCGCGCACCCCCCACCAGCTCCGCGCGGTAGAGACGGAGGTGAAGAATGAACTGGGTAAGAGCACAGAGCAGCAGCAGCAGGAGCAGGTGCTCGTGCTACTCACGCTGCTGCCGCACATGGTCAAGTACGGCGAGCCGCGCCTCCTCGCGTACCACGACGAGTTCCCCGACGGCGGGCCCGCGTTCGAGTCCACGGCGGGGCTCATGCTGCGCGCCGATGCGCTGCTGCAGAGCGAGGAGGTGGTGGCGGCGGCGCAGCGCGCGGCGAGCGCGGGGGTGAAGCTGCCCGGGAACGGGAGCGCCAAGGCGGGCAGCAGCGTGGGGCCCAAGAGGCGCGCGGACCAGTTTGTGCGCTCGTCCGTCAAGAAGGCGTTTGCCGCTGTGAGTCGCACACAGTGTTCGGCTGCTGCTGCTGCTGCTGCTGCTGCTGCTGCTGCTGCTCCTGCTGCTGTTGCTCTGCGCTTTGGTGTCCCTGCGTTTCCCACATATTTTCCTCCATGGTTCAGTGCCTGCACCTTAGCATTCTCTGACGAGCGCGGAGGACACGCTACAACCTTCTTCCCACATTCCTCATCCCCATCGGATCTTTAATCTCTCCCCCGCCCGTCTCTCCACCAAACGGCCCCCCAGGTGCGCGAGGCGGCGGCGCAGAGGCAGGTGACGCTGAAGCAGGCGCACGGGGGGGTGCCGCCGCTGCTGGTGGCGCTGGCGGCGGAGAGCAGCATGCTGGCGGTGGACTCGGTGGGGCGCTACGCCGCCGCGCTCCGACCCTGGAACTCCAACGCGGGCGGGCTCACCGTCGCCATAGTGCACTCGTGTTATAAGAACGAGCTGAAGCTGTTTATAGCGGATCGCAATGTGCTGTCTGTGGAGATGACTCAGGTGAGGAGCCGAGGGGAGAACATGCACCCCCTCATTCCCTCACTCCCATCCCCCCCTCCTGGTTACCCTTCCCCTTTTCCCCGACTTCCGTGCTCCCAACCCTCGCTCTTTAGCATCCCTACCCTTGCTCTTTAGCATCCCTACCCTATGTCGCAGATTCCTTGTGCCAAATCTGCCCCCCTTGCTCCTCCCCGCCCCCACCCGCCCCCCTTCTCCCCGGCCATCCCCCTCCCCCCTCCGCGTGCGCAGGTGCTGCTGCAGGCGGAGAAGCTGGAGAAGCAGCTGATAGAGATGGCGGTGGAGGAGGGCGCGGACGCGGAGGACGGGGGCGCGGAGGTGATTCAGGAGATGCCGCCGTACGAGACGCAGCGCACCATCGAGGTCATGCTGCAGCAGTGGCAGGACAACCGCATCGCCAAGTGCGCCGAGTGGGTCGACCGCGCCATCCAGCTCGAGGTCAGCAAAGCACGGTGTTGCAGGGTGGAGTGAGGTTTGGTGCGGTGTGGGGTGGTGTGATGTGTTGTGGTGTGGCGGTGCGTGGTGCGGGACTGGTTTGATTTAGTGTGACGGTTTGGTGTGGTGGTGTGGTGGGAAAGGAGTGGTGGTGGATGGGGTCTGGCTTGGTGGCTACCTTTGATTTGAGGGTGTTTGGGGGGCGGTTCCGTTCAGGGGCGGTGCTTACCATGGGAGTTATCCAGCAGTATGCTATAAAACCAGTTGTTGAGTCAAAGGCGGGGAAGAGAAAAGTACAGCACGAACATGTTATGCTTCATGTCTCTTGCCGGACAGCATCCCTCGAAACTTTTCCCTGCGGGCTGCAGTCGCACCACTCTGCTGCCTTCCCCCTCCCATCAGCCTTACCTTCCTCTCCTTGACTATACCCACCTTTCTCACCCTCGGTGCCCTGTCCGCCTATCCCTGTCCCCCCCACCCTCTCCCACTGTGCTCGTGTGGCGCTACTGGTGGTGGCGGCGGTGAGAGCAGAAGTGGGAGCCCAAGGCGATGAAGGCGTTCTGTGCGTCGAGTGTGATGGACGTGCTGGGGCTGCTGGACGAGACGCAGGAGGCCTTCTTCGCGCTGCCGCTGCCCCCGCGCGCCGACATGCTGGTCAGCGTGGTGCGCGCCATGGAGGCCGCGCTGCTCAAGTACTGCAAGGCCGTCACCGCCCACGTTGGTGCGTGCTCTCGGCGGAGCGGGGGAATGGGGGGAGTGGGGAGATGGGTGGGAGGCATGAGATGGAGGGGCGAACGAGACGGGACGGGGGGTGGGGGGGTGGCTGATTCTTAGTGTGTTGGGGCCGAGGGGGAATCAGGGAGGCGATGGGCCTCTGTTCTCTCGCTGCTTAGCTGTGTTGATTCTGTGTGCTCGTGCAGCTTCAGGTGTTGTTACCATGCCTGGCAGCAACATCTGCTCATGAGCCATGTGTGACTTGCCTTCACTCCCATTCCCCTTACCTCCCTGGCGTACTGTGTACGGTGTACCGCTTCCCTCCTTTCTTCCCCCCTTTGTTTTCTGCCAGGCGACAAGTCCCAGTTCCTGCCCCCGCTCCCGCCCCTCACGCGCTACAAGGAGGGTGGAGCGCAGGAGAAGGGCGCGGCAATCCTCGCAGCAGCCGCAGCCACAGCCGCAGCCAACGGCAGCAACGGCACGAACGGCAGCAGCAGGGGTGGCGGGGGCAAGGAGAGCAAGAGCGACCGGTACGCAGTGCCGCGGCTGCTGGTGCGCATCAACACGCTGTTCCACATCCACAACGAGGTGGACGCTCTGGCTGCTCGCATCCGCAGCGCGTGGGAGCGCGCCATGGCCCCCTCTGCCTCCTCGCCCTCCACCGCTGCTCCCGTGCAGAAGTCCTTCTGGCCCCTGCCCTCCTTCAAGAAGGTCAGTATGCGGATGGATGTGGGGAAGGGTTGAGGCTTAGGTAGTTTCATGAGGACATGCGCTGGGTACCCCTCTTATTCTTGAACTTCGCCTATCCATGCCAGTGCCTCGTACACTTGTCAGATTCCCTCACTCCGCCACTTACCCTTTGAAACTCATTGCTCCCCTTCACCCCACTCCTTCCCTCTCTCCTCCCTTCCCCCCTACACCCTCAGGTGGAGACGAACGTGCCTCTGGTCCCCCCCCTCCCGTCGGAGCTGATCTGCATGTTTGACGACGTGCGGCACGAGTCAGAGACAGCCATGGCGCACCTGTGCCAGTTTGTGGCGTACCGTGTGGTGTGCCACGAGCTCAAGGACGTGGCCGTCGATGCTCTCTACGCGGGCGGCCCGGCCACGCGCATGCGCATTGCGGCGGTGCTGGAGCGTCTGCACCCGCACCTCGTGGTGATTGCGGATATTATCAATGACGGGCTGCGGGACCGCGTGGTGCTGGAGGTGCTGCGTGCACTCGTGCACTGTTACATGCGTGCCCTGCTGGCCGGCGGGCCGGCTAGAAGCTTCACGGTACGGTTGGGATGATGGGGTGCAGGGGAGGGAGGTGGAAAAGGGTGGGGGATGGAAGTGGGGGAAATGGGAAGGTTGGCTGAGGATTATGGGGGGAGAGGCTGGGACAGTGTTCACCGCAATCCTCTCTGGGCATAGCAAGATTCGCCCAGGTCACATTTCGTTTCCCACGGGGTTTCCTCCTCTCCTCTGGTGCCTTGCAATCGCCACCCGACCCTTCCATGAACTGCCCTACTCACTCTCCCGTCCCCGTGAATTCCCATGTGGCCAACCCTCACCCAGGTGCCGGAGGTGCCAGCTCTGAAAGAGGACCTGAGCTTCCTCTCAGAGCTCTTCATTGACGGAGGAGATGGGCTCCCTGCTGACAAGGTCCAGGCCGCCCTCGCCCCCGCTGCTTCCATTGTCACACTCATGAGCCGCGACACCGACGACCTTATCCGGAAGTTTGATGCGGCTTATAAGGAGTTTTTGCGGACGGTGCCGGGAGGGGGTGCAGGAGGGAAGGATGCAAAGGGGAACCTGGTGCTGCCGCCGGTGCCGGAGGAGTGGTGTCCAACGGACGCTAATACACTGTTGCGGGTGCTGTGCTATAGAGGGGACAGGCGGTCGTCGAAGCATCTGAAGAAGGTGTTTGACCTGCCCAAGGAGCTCAAAAAGTGAGTGCTGTGAAAGAGATGTTTGGATGAGGGTCAGGAGGGAGAGAGTGAGGAGGTTGGCTGGGTGTTTTGACTCTGAGTGAACCATCCTTTCAGTCTTCTGAACTCATGCATTTTTTCTAGTCCAATCCCCTTGTCCTCCAGGCCATGGTACTGAAAGCATGACAACAGAGTCATGGATACAAGCGCATCGCCAACATGAGAATAACGGCTGGCTGCAGGAGGAAGCCAGCGGATTCTGTCAAGTTATCGATGTCTCATTGCGCAATGCTTCTTTAGTTTCCCGCATAAGCTTATTTCATCCGCACATAACTGACATGCGTGTTTGCTTTTCACCTCCATGCTGAGTTACTTAGGTTTTGACATGATAGGCTGGGGGGGTGTGCAGGAGCAGCTTGAATACTGCACATGATGCATGTTTGGAATGACACCACCAGTCTTGTGCCGTAACATCTCAACCTTGTTTGCACATACATGCTTAGCTTTGTGCGTACCAGTCTGCTTGTCCTCAATATTACAGATCCGTTTCGGACGTTTGCGTGGATTGTTAGTCCTGATCTGGTTTAGAACTGATTTTTGAATGAAGATTCTTTTCATAGATGTTTTCTCGATTTCGAGAGCATAGACGTTCTTGTGTACTTGTGCACCAGCGCTAAACCTCCGACACATCTTCGTTATAGGTGGTTGTCTCCTAGCACCGACAACCAACCATAAACACCACACCCCAATCGCAACTTCGTCGCACGTCGCATTGCACAGCGGTTTGCATGTCCAAACCGAGGCAGTTCGTGTGACGTGTCTATCCCGAGTCGCAAGGCGCTACAACAACCAATCGCATCGTTTCCTCCCCTCGCCCCGCACTTATGATTCTGTCCTGCTGTACAGTACTAATTGGTCCCCCTTTCCCCCATGTGTGTTTCCCCGTGAAGCCCCCTCGCTCCCCGATCGCCCCTCTCCCACCCACCCCTCACTGTTTGTCCTCCCCGCTCGCTCACCTCACCGCCAAACGACCGACCAAATCTCAGGCCTTGTGCTGTGCGGCATTCCTCCTGTTTCTCCCCTCCACACAGGGGCGCATACGGAATGGCGCCCAACGACTGCGGAGGGATCTTGGCTGCGGGTCTGCGCGCTCTTCGTTAGTTGGCAGTGGTGGCGTGGCGTGCCGCCGCTCTGCAACCCTCTCTTTGCTGCAAATACCGCGTTTCGTTGCGATTGCTCTGCAAAAAGCCCCTCCTAGCTCTAGTGCTGGTGTCATCTACTCCACACGCAACCGTATCATACCGTACCCGCCTCGTAGCCGCTCCTTCCTCCGTTTCCTTCTCCTCGACCACTCCTCTCGGCGCAACGCGCCGTCGGTGCATCTGCTTGCCCATCCGTACGTTTCTCCTCCGCTCACCCTGCCTGCTCTGCTCTGGTGACCTGCCCATCGCGCCTCGCGACTCCCACCCGTCCCAGTTCCATTGCACCACCCCATTCGACTAGCACCGTAGCACCGACGCGCCTTGGTAATTCCTACTGGATCTGCTCTGGTAGTTCCAGCGGCTTGCCCTGCCGGAGAGTCTGGGACCATTTCGATCACTGTTGCTCTCCCCCATCACTACTGTACCGTCCGCATTCTAACCCTGGGCCTCACGTCCTAACAGCTTCGTCACGCCCTTGCCCGTTTCATAGTCGCGCCGCCCGCAGTTGCTTATCGGCCCGTCGCTTCTCTCTCGATGCCCGTCGTCCTTATCTCATCACCACGCTTCGTGAGCCACAGCCCGTGCCGTGTGGCCGACGCGTATTAATCTCTTCAACTCTGACCCTTCTTTTGCGCGTTAGTAAATTTATCCAGTGACCATCTGTAGGCACTCGTCGCGTCATATTCCGTTCACAGCCCTGATTGTTAGAAGCCAGATCTAGCAGCCCTCGAAGTTGGTTACCCAGTTCGACAGAATCTGGTGTATCTGTCGGTTTAGAGTGTATAATATAGGAGGGTGGTGTGCCGAGAGCAAGACCAGCGCCTTTCCTCTCTCTGGTCCGACTTCCCCGTGTCTGATTGGTTGCTGGAAGGCCGATCGCCGTCACCCGCGCACCGTTTTCCGCGACGCCGGGCGATGCTGCGACGCGAGTGTTCGCAGTGCAGTGTGCGGGAGTAGCGAGCAGGCGGCCAGCGAGTCTGCGCCGCTCGCGCATGCACGTGCGCACTACGGGTGCGCGCTCAGCGCGTGAAGCGGCGGTTGTGTTAGTTTTGTGCGCGCAGAGCGGAGGAGCCATGCGCAAGCGGAGACGAGGCAGCAGCCACGGCGAGGTACGCGGGAAGAGGGGCCGGTGGGGGCGGGTAAGGGGGCAGGGGCGGGAGGGTGGGTGCGGAGGTGGGATCGGAATGGGCGACTTTAGGGCAGTGGGGCGGGGGTGTGGTGCTTGTGGATACCTTATATGGCCGCTGCGAGAGCACGCTCGCATTCTCGTGCCGATTTCAAGTGTCCGTTTTGCTTCCCTCACGCATCAGCCTTTCCATCCCTCACACCTCTCTTCTTTTCTCGCTCTCCGCCCCCCTCTCCCTCGGTTCACGCGCAGCTGTTCTGTCTGCTGCTCCTGGCGCTGCTGTGTCTCCTTCCGCCCACACTCTCTCCCGCTCTTGCGAGCAGTTACTCAACAGCCACAGCAGAAGCAGCACCAGCCTACAGGACAGCAGCGGCAGCAGCAGTAGCATCAGCCGAAGAAGCATCTAGTAGTCGCGCGTTCGTTCCTCATGTGGTTCCCCTCCATAGAAGCACGTTCCATCACAGTAACACAGCATCAGCACAAACGGTAGCAAGCGCAGAACCGGTTTCCCATATGCGGCTGTCCTCGTCAGTGGCAAACAGCCCGTGGCACAATAGCATGATTGGCACGACTCGCCCCAGACTCAGTTCCAGATTGCCCCCTCTCTCGCCGCTCTCTGCCATGAAGCCTGCACACATTGGCCCGGGGGCAGACGCAGGGGCAGGGGGAAGCGCAGGAGCAGGGGCAGGGGAAAGCGCTGGTGCAGGAGTGAGAATTGTGGCAAGGACACAAGGGTCGATGGCAGGGGGCGAGGAGCAACAAACATTGCGTGCCACCTCAGCATCATACAACAGTCCTCTCATGCCTAGCATCAGCGTAGGGAACAGCAGCAGTTTCGTGCAGAGGCAGCAGCAGCAGTTACGGCAGCAGCTGCTGCTGAGACAGCAGCGGTGGCGGCAGCGGCTGCATCGACTGCAGAGGCAGCGGCAGATTCAGCGGCAGCAGCAACGGCAGCAGCGCCTACGTGCGCAGCAGCGGCAGCAGCAGCAGCAAAGCTTCTTCGTGCCATCAATCAGACCCTCCCAGCCTCAGCTGCTACAGGCGCCTGATGCGGGTGGCAGCAGTATCAGCACACAGATGCGGACACAGGGGAGTACTGCGCTGCCCCTCCTGCCACACGCCAGCACCTCCGGCCCGCAGCAGATGGGAAGTCAGATGCAGCCGCTGCAGCCGTTTGATAGCTTCATGCCGCGGCAAGTGCCAGCTGTAGTGCTGCCGGTGCAGCAGCAGCAGCCAATACAGCCGCAGGCAGGGCAGCAGCCGATGCAGGTGCGGATTCCAACGAACCAGGCAGCTCCTGTGACCGAACCTCAACAGGCAGAGCTACCAAGCCACCACATGAAGCCGCGCAACGCGCCGCTGGAACCCCTGTCGCAGCCGGGGCAGCCGGGGCAGCGCATGAGAGATCGAGAGGTGGACTGCCCGTACCGCACGGAGGGGCAGGGGCAGAACCTGCACCGGTGCGCCATGGGGTATGCGGGGTGGGCGAACGTGACGGGCGGGAAGGGCAAGGTGGTGTATTGGGTGTCCTCCCCCATGGATCACCCCACGAAACCCCTGCCTGGGTCGCTGCGCTGGGCGCTGAACAGGCTCCGTGGAGGAGCCACCATTCGGTTCTCCCGCAGCATGGCCGTGAATCTCACGGACCGGCTCTTCGTGCGCTCTGATACCACGATCGATGGCCGGGGGGCAACGGTGCAGATTAATGGCCCCATGGCGGTGTATCGGTCGAGGAACGTGATCATACACAACGTGGCTATAGGGAACGCCAAGGGGAACACGGACGCGCTGCATATACGGAACAGCTCGCGCGTGTGGGTGGACCATTGTAAAGTGACCAATGCGTATCGCGGCACGATTGACGTCGTGAAGGGGTCGACGAATGTGACTATATCGAACTGCTTCATCCGCAACTTGTAAGTGGTGTGGTGCATCAGTAATATAGCATTTCATGGTTGTTGCCTTCAGCAGTTGCATCTGCAATTTAGCACTTGATGGTCGTTCCCTTCAGCAATTGCATCCTTCCCCTTCCATTGCTCTTTCTTCTTGCCCCATATTGCCTCACACGCCATCCTAACTCCTCTCACCTCATCATTCTTGTCTCCTCTCTGCGCCCTCCCCCTCCCCCTCGCCTCTCCAGTGGTTTCACGATGCTGCTGGGAGCAGCAGACAACGACACATTCGACCAGCAGATGAGAGTGACAGTCTACCGCAACTGGTTCTACGGGTCGGGCCAGAGGCAGCCGCACGGGCGCTGGGGCAAGATACACGTGGCCAACAACCTCTACACCAACTGGACCTACTACTGCCTCGGGGGGCGCGTGCACGCCAACATCCGGTCAGACCGGAACATTTTCATCGCGGGCAGCAAGCGCAAGGAGGTGACGCCGTGGTTTGGGCCGCAGAGCCCGTCGGTTCCCGGGTTTGACAACACGCCTACTATCCGTTCGTTCAACGACTCGTTGCGCAACGGAGCCACCTTCCATGTCTTCCCGGGGACCCCACCCAAGCCGACCTTTGTGCCGCCGTACAAGCTGCCCTTGCACTCGGCCGATGACATTTTGGGGGCGTTTGTGGCAAGGAATGCCGGGCCTCGTGTGGGCACCGCGCCTCTCCTGCCCTGCACCACCACCACCTGCTGGAGCTGCTGCTGACACACACACAGACCGCCTCTGGCAACAGCATATACTTGCAGAGCTTAGACATTTTAGGTACCTTCACATCCTGCTCCACAGAACATCCTCTCATAAGTTCACCTCCGGGGTTTGTTTTAGTTTAGTAGGTGAATTTTCTGAAGCACATAGTTGTTGAGTAACTTCTGTGCACATTGCGTGCATGAACGTTTTATGAAGGATTCGATAAAGAGGATGCAACATTACATACCTTTGCCGTACCAATCAAATGTGTCAAAATCCTTTGTATAGAGGCTGTAGTACATATTTATGAAACCAAAATTAGTATTCCTTGTTGTATTTATTGCAAATGTTAGCAGATTCGTGGGGCATTCTATGTGGAAGTGTTTTGAACTTTTCTGCATCCCTGGTGCTCGCCGCAATTCTCGAGGGCCTTGGGTTGTAGGGACTGAATATGATGGGAATCGGATCAGCGGTCAGGCTTCTCCTCATTGCGCCGTTGGATCGATTTGATCCTGAGGTGTACGATAGTTTGACAGAATTCCCGCCATCGCTTCTTTGGGGTGCCTCTTGCACGAAGACTCCAGAACCGCCGAAACTGGGCAAGTTTTTGTGCAAGCCTAGGGTTGATCCAATGCTGGCGAACCAACATCTTTTCGCCAACATCCGGCCTCACAAAACTGACGCGCGAAAAGATTCGCCTCGTAGGGGTAACTACCAACTTCTCCCTCGAATGAGCGCCATCCATCTGCGACTCTCTTCCTGCGCGTTGACGAAACCCAGTTTCCAGTCACCAATGCATTCGCTGGTTCGCAAGAACCTGAGCTGCCTTTCTCTCCCATCCCAAGCAGAGGAGGATTTTACAGCTGCTCCGTACCTTCTCTCTACCGCCGTTTGTGTCAGAGCCAGCCCAAAATCTCTTATTTCCCTCCCAACTCATCACCCTCCATCCGCCTCCTTAGCACAAGAGCGGCTCGTTTTGGTAGCACGCTTCGGGAAACGAACCGCGCCGGTTTGATTAGCGGCTGTTCTTGGCCACGTCACGAGATTTTTGAATTGGTGTTTTCACCCGTGTTTCATTTTTGTCCAGTCAAACAGCCCACATGTCTTCAACTGAAGCCACAAGATGATGCTCCCATCGCTTTTGGTCGATTTCACATGAGGTGGTCCAATCAGAAGCTGGTTTTCATGTTGTCGGCGGATTGTTCCGATCCACCAAAGTCCAGGGTGGACTGTTTGGGACCACCACATAGCCAGCAAGGCATATTCTTATCCATAGATTGATTTCATCACATTACGCGCCGCGACGTTGGGATTCCAACGGCCCGCATTCAGGCAGAGCACCCTTTTCTGCAGATCCACTCATTGTCCCTGCTGTTCTCCACGAAATTTAGTTTGTTTCCTCAGCCTTCTTGGCATTTTTGGCACACGAGCTTAGTTTTCGTCCACTCTACCGGTTCGAAACGTTGTCATCGCTTCACGTCGCTACGAGTCAGCCTGTTCCGGATCGCCTGGTTGATCGCCGAGCTCCATGACTTTTCGACCTTAGATACACGACTCCACTTCGTCTTCAACGTCACGTACACAAACAACCGTCTTTCTTTTTCGTTTTTGCTTGCATGCTTCGCTGATTTCCGTTCACTAACTTTTGTGTATGTAATATTTGCAGGTTTGCGTGGAGACTCCAGGACGTACTTTAGAAAGCATTGGAGGAGCGGCGACTCAACCTTTCAAGCTCTATGGCGGATCAGCTCCACGATTCAGTCAAGTTGAAGGTTGAATGTATCAACCTCACCATTCACACTCCACAGAACCACCCCCCCCCTGGTCCAGGTGTGGTACAGGTAAGGTACAGGTAAGGTGCAGGTCCCCTTAAGGTGTGTTTTTTTGGTTGGTACGTTTTTTGTGGTTCTGTGGTATGCACCAGCACATGTTTTTTCAACTTTCGCAAATTCGTTTTCATGCTTTTTATTATTCCGTTTACTAACTTATGTCTTTTATATACTTGCAGGTTTGCATGGAGCTCTTGGGTATACTTCAGAGGCATTTGACGAGCAAGCGCCTTCATCAACCTTCCAAGTTTCATGGCCTGCAAAGAAAGACTGCTCCACGACTTGTCCATGGTTAAGGTTGAATGTATCAACCCCACCATGCACACTCCACAGAACCACCCCCCCCTGGTCCAGGTGTGGTACAGGTAAGGTACAGGTAAGGTACAGGTCCCCCTAAGGTGTGTTTTTTGTTGGTACGTGCTTTGTGGTTCTGTGGTATGCACCAGCACACGTTTCTTCCGCTTTGCAAGTTTTATTCATACTTCCCTTAATTCCGTTTACTAACTGAAGTTTGTTTTATACTTGCAGGTTTGCTATTGGGCGTACTTCAGAAGGCATTCGAGGAGCAACCGCCTTAATCAACCTTTCAAGCAAAGGACAGCTCCACGACTTGGCCATGGTTAAAGTTGAATGTATCAACCCCACCATGCACACTCCACAGAACCACCCCCCCCTGGTCCAGGTGTGGTACAGGTAAGGTACAGGTAAGGTACAGGTCCCCCAAGGTATATTTTTGGTTGGTACGTGCTTTGTGGTTCTGTGGTATGCACCAGAACACGTTTCGTCCGTTTTTGCAAGTTTTTTTTTCATGTTTTTCTTAATTCCGTTTACTAATTTCAGTTTTTTCTATACACTTGCAGGTTTATATGGAGGCTCTTGGGCTTATCAGAAGGAATTCGAGGATCATCCGCCTGTCTCAACCTTTCAAGCTTCATGGTGAAGGTTAAATGTATCAACCCCACCCCACAGAGCCACTCCCCCTTGGTTCAGGTTCGGTACAGGTGAGGAGAGGTAGGTGTGGTACAGGTATTTGGTAATCGGCTCTGTGGTGGTGTGGTAAGTATACTTTGAGTTCCGTTTTTCATCTTTTGTTAATTCAGTTTACTAACATTCGCTTGTTAATACTTGCAGGTGTTATTCAAGGCTCTTGTGCCACATTGCTAAGCTCCAAGGCGAGGTGAACGTACCTGCCGACACCACTGGCAGGCGCCTCCTCACTCTCCACCAGCAGTAAGTTCCGTCTCTCTGGACTTTACCCCTCATTCTTGCTTTCTGCTGGTTGGTGATTTTGAAGTTACTTAATTTACTAACTTGGTTTTATATTTACTTTGTGTGCCAGGTTGCTCAACCAAGGGACCTTCAGCATGTCCAACATCTATGGTAGCACCATGGTCTGCTGAGGCGCCTCAAGGCTCAATCTTGGCAAGATAAGTTGCCTCCCCCTTGCCTTGCTTAGTTTGCTGCACATTCCCGTTTGCTACTACACTTGCTGATTCCTTCGCTTTATTTAAGTTGTGGCTTCAAGATGATCCCGTTCACTGACTTGGTTCATTTGCCTTGTGGCAGGTTCTCTCCAAGGGCTCTCTGCACTGCACACCCATGAAGCTCCAAGTCTTGTGCATTGCTCAACACCTCCAACTCTTTATCTACAGATAAGTTTCTGCCCTTACTTTGTGCCCAGTCAGTTTCCCTATATCTTTTTAAAGGATTTGTGTTCATTTCTCTTTGACGCATTCTGCATGCTTGCTGTTTTTAAAGAGCCTGTACTAATTTTTTTATTTCTTATCATGCAGGTGCGCTCATGGGCAGCAATCATGGCATTGAAGGTTGAAGGTGCAAGTCCTTGGCGCAGTGCTCAACGCCATGCCCATGAAGCCCCAAGTCCTTGGCGCACTGCTCAACACCTCCAGCTTCCCAACTACAGATAAGTCTCAGCCCTTGGCGCCTTGTCAGTTTCGCTGATTTTTTTTTTTCAGATTTGTGTTCATCATTTTGCTTTGACGCATGCTGGTACCTTCTTGCTGTTTATTAAGAGCCCGGACTAATTTTCTTTCTTTCTTACCATGCAGGTGCCTTCATGTGCAGCAATCATGGCATTGAAGGTTGAAGGCAGTGCATGAGAGAGGGTGAAGTCATGAGCATTGGGCTAAGCACTCGAATCCGGGCCAAACCGGACTGGTTCTGTCCCCCTCCGCCCCCGCCAAGTGCCAACACTGTCTGGCCAGCAGCAGTTGTCATTTGGTGGAGGTGGGGGTGAACAGAGCTAGTCCCTAGTAGGGCTCCCGCACATCTTGGGCGAAGCAATGCTCGTGGTTAGCCTTGCTCTTTGCCTGTTGCACTGCCAGTCCATGCCGGGGTGGGCATGGATGGCATGCTGCCACTAGAAAGGATACTAGCAGTAGTACCTTGAGCTGGGATGCAACAGCTTGTATGTCTAGGCAGAGAATTTATGTATATTTAGTGCTCCTTTAGGATTATGAGCTTGCTATATATACACTTCCAAGTGTGATGCTTTATTAAAGAAAACGCAGGTGTCCTGGTAGGCAGGTATAGCTGAAAGTAAACAAAGAAGTCCCACACGTGAACACATCTCAGATTATACACAGGGCACCTTACTAGAGAAGTATCTGATTCTAGAGATACTAGTCGTGAATCCTCACACCAGCATAGCTTACATTCCCCTATAGTGCGTACGTTCATAATCAGCTGGAGGCTGGCTGCAGCTTGATGCCGACAAGCCAAAGGGGAGGCACTCGGCGGGTTTTGGGCCTTTCCGCCTCGTAGCACCGCCATTCGCCGCGACATGCGCCTCTTCCTAGCGGGATCCGCCACTGCTTCGCCTCCATCACACCCCGGATCCGCCATTCTCGCCACGGCCGTGCTATATAATTCCCTCGCACCCTCCCCAGATTCCTTTCCGGCCGCACCTCATTTTCGTTCTTCCCGTTGTGACGACCCTGGCCCCCAAGTGTTTCCGCTCACTCTCTAGCTCTCGATCTACCTCGTGATCTCCCGCCCGTTCCTCATGCCCACGTGGAAGTTTCTCCCTCGCGCGGTTTACCGATGCAGTGTACGGGCTGCGAGGGGCAGCGCTAGCGGCGCCGGCGGCAACGGCGATGCTGTGGCTCGCGGGCTTCGGCCCGCGGATTCGTGCCAGCGATCGGGTCGCGATGCCTTTCAGGAGTCGCTGGAAACGTGGCGTCACGCCAGTGGCCAGTCGTGCTCGCGAGTCGCCGGATCGGTGATGGACGCGGCTATGGTCGCAGAAGTCTCGGAAAACACGCCGTGGGTTGCGGCGAGATCATCGGAAGCAGGAATGTCGCTTGAAAAATCTACGGAGTTGCGAGGATCGAGAGCAACCCTGCTCTTTCACGGTTCGTCTGACGTGGCGAGATCTCTGCCGCACGTTGGGTGCGGTGCAGACGCGTGGGCGACGAGCAGCTGTCGAGAAGCAATGGCGGCGCCGCCTTTGCTGGTCAGCCGCTCCCTCTTGGCCCCTCTATCCTGTTAGCATTGCATCACTGTCCACTCGCGGTCCCATACTATCCTGTTCTTGAGCCGCCAGAGAAAAGGTTCTTGTCCTACACTCTCCTATGAAGTCTTCCCTCCTTCGTTCTTAACCCGCCAACCAGTTTGAACCCTTCTTTCCGCCACGATCTAGCTTCCCTTACCCGCTATCCCCTGTTCCCCTCTCCGCCCCCCTTCCCCGCTCCCTCCCCCCAGCACCTCACATCACCGCAAGGCCCTTCACCTCCGCCACCCTACGCCGCGCTCCCCGCTTCTTTTGTCCTTCGATCCGCACTGTCCTCGCTAAGCGCTGCTCCAGTATCGGCTATAACTACGGCCACTCGCCCGTACGCACCACAGCTGGCTGTGCCTTTCTCGAGTAGCGCGGATGGCAGGCCAGGGGAAAGGGCAGGGGCGGGCGGGGGCAGTGCAGCGGCAGCATCGGCAAGTGGCGCTGAAGGAAAAGCGGCGGTTCATCTGTCTGGGCTGGGGGGAGCGAATGAGGGTGCTGCGAGCGTAGAGAAGAAAGCGGAAGGAAGGGAGCAAGGGGCAGGGGCAGGGAAGGGAGGGACCGGGGGGAATGGCTCTGGGAAGGCGGTTGTGGGGGCCGCGGGGAAAGGTGGGGCGGGGGAGGCGGTGGCAGGGGGGGGGCAGGGCGGGGAGGAGGCGTCGGACATGGCGATTCTGAGCACGCTGGCGCACTACCTGTGGCCCAAGGACAACCCCGACTACCGCCGCCGCGTTGCTGCCGCGCTCACCCTGCTCGTCTCCGCTAAGGTTAGGCTGATGGGGGCTTTGCGGGGGCTGCTCGTCGGGGTTCGGGGGACAGGGTTCAGGGTTTAAGGATTTGATATGGTTTAATGTGGGCGGGTGATTGGTGGCATGAGGAGGGAAGGGAGGGAAGAATGTCGTGAGAGTGCAGGTGCCTCGTGCTCATCCGTCCCACCCTCTCTTCCACTCCCCTGCTGCACTGCACCCGAACTGTCCCCCCCCCTGCACTGCCCCTCCCGCTCTCCCCCATGCACTGCCCCCCTCCTCTCCCCTCCTCCCTCTGCATCCCCTCCTCCCTCCCTCGCCCTGCGCGTCTGCTCTGAGCAGCTGTTGAACATCCAGGTGCCGTTCCTCTTCAAGCACGCCATTGACAGCCTGTCAGCAGCAGCGGGCGCCACGGGAGCCACAGCGGCGGCAGCAGCAGCGACAGCAGCGTCGGACCCGCTCTTCTTCGCGCTCTTCACCACTCCCTCCGCCATGCTGCTCGGCTATGGCCTTGCGCGCGCTGGCGCCTCCGCATGCAATGGTGCGTGTTGCTGCGGGCCTGGTGGTGTGGCTTGGATGGGGCTTGGATGGGGCTGCGTGGTGGTGCTATGTGATGGAGCTAATTCGTTGGGGGTTGGGGGAAAGCAGCAGAGAGCACTGAATTCGTCTGTCCGTTTTGTGTTACATATGTTCTCTCTTCTGCTCGTCCCTTCCCTGTCCTTCGTGTGTGCGTGGCATGGCAGAGTTGCGCAATGCGGTGTTTGCGAACGTGGCACAGGGCACCATCCGCAAGGTGGCGAGGCAGGTGTTCCTGCACCTGCACGACATGGACCTCTCCTTCCACCTCAGGCAAGCCTCATAGTGCACGTCCCTCACACACTCAAGCTCTTCACACACACCCCACCCTGCACCTGGCGTGCCTCCTCTCCTTTTCACGTTCCCCCCCACCACAGTCACCCTCCTCTGCCCTGCTCCACCCTCCCTCACAACGCTACTCCAACCCTCACTCCACTTCCACTTTTCTCTTTCCTCCCCCCTCCTACCTCCCTCCCTCTCCCTCTCCCGCTCCCTTCACCAGTCGGCAGACAGGGGCGTTGAATCGAACGATAGACCGGGGCACGAGAGCCATCAACTTCATCCTCTCCTCCATGCTCTTCAACGTCTTCCCCACGCTGCTCGAGGTCCCCTCCACTCCCCTCCCTGCCTGCTCCACTCTGCCCTCGCCCAATTCTGGCGCCACACCTCCTGCACTTCCGTGTTTTTTTTCTTCTCTCTTAGATGAAACCGTCCCCCCATCCCTTCCTTTTTCGTTCTCATGCCCGTGAAATAATCCTGTTCGTTCAACTCTCACCTTTCCCCCCTCTCCTCTCCTCCCCCTCCTCTTCTCCCCTGCCCACCCTGACCTGTTCCATGCATCACGGTCTCCCACGTCCCTCTTGCCCACTCAGATCGGGCTGGTATCCAGCATCCTCGCGTACAAGTTTGGCCCCTCCTTCGCTGTTGTCACAGCCGCAACAGTCACAGCGTACACTGCATTCACCCTCGGAATCACACAGGTGTGCCTCTCACCCCTCCTCACACTCTGAACTGAACTGAACTCCCTCATTCCAGCTCTGCTCTGCATTCCTTTTTGTTGCAATCTACGCTCCGCCCTCCTTTCCCATGCCGTTATCCCACTGTCCTTTGCTTTCCAAATTACCCACAGGTCCTCCCTCCCTCCCTCCCTCCTTCCCTCGCTCCTCCCCATCCCTCTGCTCCTCGTACTTGTCTGCTCCCACTCGAAGTCGCATGGGTATATGAACTCTCACATCCCCACACCTGGAATCTGCATTCCCACTGTAAATGCTCAGGCTCCCCCCTTCACTTGTTCCCTTCCCTCCTCCCTCCATTTTCTCCTTCCCCCTCCTCCACCCCCGTCCTCCCCTCCTCCCCTTCCTTCCCCCGTCCACCCTTCCCCCTCTCCTCCCCTGTCTTCCCCCGCCCCCCTGGGTGCGTGTATGTGCGCGCACTGCGCAGTGGCGCACCAAGTTCCGCCAGCAGATGAACAAGGCGGACAACGACAGCAGCTCGCGCGCCATCGACTCCCTCATCAACTACGAGGTGGGGGAGATGGGGGAGGACGCGGAGGGAGGTCATGGGGGACGGATGGTGGGAGGGAGGGCATGAGGATAACATGCATGGCATGGCATGGACAGCATAGCATGTGGCTCTCTGGCCGCCATGTGTGATCCCCTCTGACCTGTATCCCCCTCATCCCTCGTCTAAGAAGTCCTATGCTGTTACTTCTTGTGTTCCGACACCACTCCGTGCCCACCCCTGCCACCCTCAACCCCTTTCCTCCCTCCTGTGCCCACGCACTTTGTGCATTGTGAATGCATGGGTGCATGGGTGCATGGGTGCATGGGTGCATGGGTGCATGGGTGCATGGGTGCATGGGTGCATGGGGGAATGGGGGCATGGGTGCATGGGTGCATGGGTGCATGGGTGCATGGGTGCATGGGTGCATGGGTGCATGGGTGCATGGGTGCATGGGTGCATGGGTGCATGGGGGCATGGGTGCATGGGTGCATGGGGGCATGGGTGCATAGGGGCATGGGTGCATGGGTGCATGGGTGCATGGGTGCATGGGTGCATGGGTGCATGGGTGCATGGGTGCATGGGTGCATGGGTGCATGGGTGCATGGGTGCATGGGTGCATGGGTGCATGGGTGCATGGGGGCATGGGTGCATGGGTGCATGGGGGCATGGGTGCATGGGTGCATGTGTGCATGGGTGCATGGGTGGGTGAGAGCAGACAGTGAAGTATTTCAACAATGAGGAGCATGAGGCCGCCATGTACGACAAATTCCTCAAACGTCAGTGCCGCCTGCCTGCCTGCCTGCCTGCCTCCTGTTCAGCAGCTCTCCTGCATTCCGTGTCACTCTCTCTTCTGACCCGTTCACCTGCAATCGCCTGTATCTCTTTCTGCTCTTTTCTCTCGTCTCTCCGCCCCTTCATTTGGCTCGCCCTTACGGCTTCTGATTGCAACATTTCGCATGTTACCCCCACCCCTTTCTCCTCCTGCTGCTCTTCTCCCCCACGCTGCCACTTCTCCACAGCCCACCGCCTCTCTCAATCCCTCCACACCTGATCCCACTCCACTCCACCTCACCCCACCCCGTCTCATCCCCATTCGTGCCGCCATGTGAGCAGGGTACGAGGAGGCGGCGCGCAAGACGCAGAGCAGTCTGTCGCTGCTCAACTTCGGGCAGAACGCCATCTTCAGCGCTGCGCTCGCCTACACCATGGTCATGTGCGGCCAGGGCATCGGCGCCGGCCACATGACCATCGGCGACCTCGTGAGCCCCGGGAGGGGGGGGGGGTGGGGGGGGAGAGGGGAGATCGGGGGAGGGAGGAGGGTGGGGAGGAGTGTGGGGGTTTTGAGGGGAGGTGGTGGTGGGTGGGACTGAGAAGGATTCTGGCCTTCTTATGTTTGGGTGGGGTAAGGAGAGAAAAAATGGGACGAATGGGGGGAAGGAGGGTATTCGGAGGAGCAGGGAATGGGATGCAAGCAGGGTTTGTCAGTTTTGTCTTCCATCTTCGACCTCTCCACTCTACGGCCCCCTTCCCTTCCCCGTAGGCCCCGTCTTATCTGCCAAACACTTCTCACCGTCACCCCTTCATCTCTCATCCCGCTGCTTCCCTCGCTGTGATTCCTCCCACATCTCCCGCGTCATCTCTTTCGCCCATCTAATTCCGACTTCCCCCCCCACCTTTGGATCCCTTTCCAAAACCCCCCATCCCTTCCCCCAACCTCCTCCCCATGGCATGACCGGCTCTGTGTGTGTGTGCATGCTGCACAGGTGATGGTGAACGGGCTGCTGTTCCAGCTGTCGCTGCCGCTCAACTTCCTGGGCAGTGTGTACCGCGAGACGCGCCAGAGCCTCATCGACATGCACCACATGTTCAACCTCCTCAACGTGCGTCCAGGTTCGGGGGGGGGAAAGGAGGGGGGAGGGTTGTTGGACATGGGTGAATGGCGGTGGGGGAAGCGGGTGCAGAAAGGGGGTGGGGCAAGCGATGGCGAAAGGGTGGCGGAGGGGGTGAGGTTTACTTACGTGTGTGAAACTCAGCTCCTAGGACCCGAAAGTCCATGCAGCCTGTTTTCTTTGCCTCTCTCCACCCCTTTGGTTTCGCATCTCCGTCTCTCCTCTCTCCCCTTTCCCCTCTCCTCTCTCCCCTCTTCCCACTCCCCACTCCCCCTCTCCTCTCTCCGCTCGCCCCATCGTCCTCTGTGCGAGCAGTTGAAGCCATCAGTGACGGACATACCGGATGCACGGCCGCTGGAGCTCAAGGACTGCAGCATCTCATTCCACGACGTCACATTCGGGTGGGTTACCCCGCCGCACCACCCTCTCCTGCGTGTAGGCGTAAAGCGTTGCCATGTGTTGTGATGTGGCGCCAACCCAACCCACTGGAACACAACACGGTCCGTGGTTTGACCTGCTGGTGGGACTGTGAGGGTGTGGCAAACTGTCGGTGCCAGTCTGTCGAAGTGAGCTGGGGGGAGGGGAATGAACCTCATGGTGCTGCTAAGATCTGTTCATGTTATGCCATGCCGCTAAGGGCACCATTTCTCATGCCCACACACACTTGCACACACATGCAAGCACAAAACCTTCGCACATGCACGTGTGCGCATATGTGCACATGCTGTTGCTTATCCATCCACCACCCTGTGGCATACATGCACCAGGTACCATGACGAGAAGCCCATTCTGAATGGCGTGTCGCTGCATGTGCCTGGAGGGAAGAGCCTTGCCATCGTTGGTCCCAGTGGCAGTGGTGAGCCCATGCACACATGCACACATGCACACATGCACACATGCACACATGCACACATGCACACATGCCAACATCCCACATGAACCCACGCCCGTATGTGAACATTACCACATGCAGTCACCTATGCAGAGTGGTAACAATCATATGCCCGGGCATGCGCATTGTATTACCCAGGGAGCGTGCATGTCCTGCCTGCGTCATGTGCTCGTACTGTGTATGCACCCCATGTGGGCATGCCTTGTGCTCCCAGGCAAGTCAACGGTGCTGCGTCTGCTCTACCGCTTCTTCGATGTCGACTCTGGAAGTGTAAGCCCCACTGCTCTCTTACCGCACCTCTCTTACCTCCTCGCTTCTCTCCAGTCCTGCTTCGCTCTTGTCTCTTCTTGCTCACTCGCTCACGAGAATTGCCCCAAGCGCAGTCACACCACCACACATGCGCACCTTCCATGCTGCCCCCCTGCGTGTCACGGCTCATGCCATCAGATAAAGGTGGACGGGCAGGACATCCGGCAAGTGACCATCAACAGCCTGCGCAAGTCCATAGGGGTCGTGCCTCAAGACACTGTTAGTGCGCCTCTCTCTCACCTCTTCATCGCATCTCACTGATTCATACCCACTCATACCACTCCCTCTGCTGCTGCCGCTGCGTGCTGCTAGTTGCACTCTCTCTTTGCCGTTTTTGCATGTCTTCTAATCACCACATGCATACCACTGCCCCATCTCTGCCTCCCTTCTTCCCCCTTTCTTCTCCCCTTCCCTCTCCCCTTCTCCTCCTCTCTACCCCTCTCTCCCCCCTCTCTCCCATTTCTCTCCCATTTTTCTCCCCCTTCTCTCCCCCTTCTCTCCCCCGTCTTCCCTCTCCCGCGTGTCCATCCCCCCCAGGTCCTGTTCAACGACAGCATCATGTACAACATCCGCTACGGCCGCCCATCCGCCACCGATGAGGAGGTCCGTTTGCCCCCACCCACCATGCCTGGGTTGTGGGGAAGAGTGAGGGGAGGGGGGAAGGGGGAGAGAGGAAGGGGGGAGGGAAGGGATGGGGGAAGAGCGAGATGAGAGGGCGGGGTTACGTAGAGAGGAGGGAAAGATTTCGACTGCGTTTCGTGCAGTGTTTTTCCCACCCTTGTTCGCCTTCTCTTCAAGTGCTCACCCGTCCCTTCTCTGCCGTCCATTGCATCTCACCCCATCCCGTCAAATCCCTTTGCATCCTGTCGCAACACGTCTCCTCCTGCTCTGTAGGTGTACGAGGCGGCACGGCAGGCGGCGATTCACGAGCAGATATTGCAGTTCCCCAAGGGCTATGACACCTTGGTGGGAGAGCGCGGGCTCAAGGTGCGTGCACGGCCCACGGGGGGCACTCTGTGGGGGAGGAACTGGGAGAAGGGCGGTGTCGCAAGTGGAGAGGGGGAGGGGGGCTGCGAGGGGGAGTGCAGGGATAAGAGTGCTTCGTAAGTGACAGTGTGGTCGTTTGTGTGTCTTGAGCACGCATCCTTCTTTTCCTCCTGCTCTACACCCTCGCCGTTGCTCTTCCCTCTGCCTGCGTCTCCTCATGTGCGTTCCCTATTGTTCCTCCCCTCTAACCTTCTCCCCCATGTGTGCTTTCTCATCTCTTCCCATCCCATCGCTCCCTGAATATCCCGGCCATCTTGGCCCATTCCTCTCCGTCACCTGTGTTCTGTCTGCCGCCTCTTGAGCAGATAAGTGGGGGGGAGAAGCAGCGAGTGGCGCTCGCAAGAACTTTTCTTAAGGGAGCTCCCATCCTGTACGCATCCCCATCTCCCACCTACTATCTCCCATCTCCCCCCTCCCATCTCCCATCTCCCACCTCCCATCTCCCCTCTTCCATCTCCCATCTCCCATTTCCCCTCTTCTCTCTCCCCTCTCCCCTCTCCCATCACCCCTCTCCCCTCTCCCCTCTCCTCTCTCTCCTCTCTTCCCTTCTTCTCCCATCTCCCGTCTCCTGCCGGTCTTCCGTCGCCCGTCTCCCATATCCAATCTCGTGACTCTCATACAACAATTCTCTTGCACTTTGTGCACATACTGTGTCCATCGCTACTCATACTGTCACTACCCTTTGCAAACGCTGTGTTTACAGACCCCTATGCCCTCCCTGTCCTTTCTCCTCCCACCCTTTACCATACAAAACTCACCACCACCATCCCAACTTCCCCACTCCTTCAAACTCCCCCCTTTCCCCTGTCCCCTTTCTCCTCTTCCCTCGCCCTTCTCCCCCGCTCCCTCCCTCCCTCCCTCTCGCCCCAACCCCCCCAGGTTGTGTGACGAGGCAACGAGTGCACTGGACAGTGTGACAGAGGGCGCCATTCTCACGGCTCTGCAGAGCCTCGCTCGCAACCGCACCTCTATCTTTGTCGCGCACCGCCTCACCACCGCCATGCAGTGCGATGAGGTACGGTTCTGTGCGGTGCAGTTGTGCTCAGAACACCTTGCGAATTATTTGGGACACGGCTGCTTGTGATTCTTCTGGCAATATATATATATACATATATAGGTTACTTGGGTCTCTTTGTTTCTCCTCTTCGTCGCTCTCATGCCTTTTTTCCCCACCCCTGACCCTGTGCATGTCAGATTGTGGTGCTGGACGAGGGGCGCATCATAGAGCGTGGCAACCACGCATCGCTGCTGGCCCTCAACGGCACATACGCCGACATGTGGCGCCAACAGAACCGCCCGCACGGGGAGGACGCCGAGGAGGGGGAGGGGGGGGCGGGGGAGGAGGGCAGCCATGGAGCTAGTTCGAGTGAGATAAGCAGGGGGCGTGAAGGGCGGCTGCTGGATGGTGAAGGGAAGGTTGTGGGAGCAGGGAAGGAGCAGGGTGGGGATCGGTTGGCAGTGGTGCTGGGAGGGGATGATGATGGGGTGGCTCATGGCAAGGCCGACAAGGCAGGCAACGCTGCTGCTGGTGCGGATGGCGACGGCCGGCCTGTTGTGCATGGCACTGCTGCGAAGGCATCGTAGGGGGCTTTAAGGGGATGAAGGACCGTGCTGCCAGGGCGCAGGCAGGAGGGGCTGAGTTGAGTGGTAGCAGGTTCAGATGATGCGTTCAGTGGTAGTTGGGTCTGTGCTTGCGTGCAATGGAGCAGTTTGGTGTGGTAGCAACAGCAGGGATGATTCGCATGGCACTTGGTGCTTAGGCTTCAGTGCTGCTTTCCCTGCTGCTGAAAAGTCGCGGTCACTTCTGCCTGTGCAGTGTGCTTTGCACGCGCAGCTTTCTCCTGTCCAGCGTTTTTCAGCTAAGCTGATTCAGCTAGGTTGGGACGCACTGTGAGAACTGACTACCTTCAAAGTGACAGTGGCGTGCTGCTGTTGCTGACAAATAGAAATATAATGTCTTCTCCATCGTGATCTTTTGCTCTCCCTATCCATGGCTCAAAGGCAACAAACCATACACAATGTTTAAAAAAATGGCAGCGAGTATCCCATCAGTTTGTAACTACCACTTGGCAGATTCACAGGTTACATTTATCACGCATGAGTGCTCTCTGCACTTGCTAATGCTGCTGCTCCTGTTGTTTCCTGGGAATGATGAAGAGAGCAGTAGCTTCGGAAAATATCTCGCCATCAGGAGCACTGCGCAGCGACCCTTTGAGATACACCTGAAGAGGGGGGCATTGCATGGAAGGGTGGGGGAGAGAACAAAACGATGGGTGAGCAGAGCCAGAAAGGAAACAGCGGTTCAGGAGAGAGAAGAAATGCGTCATTGATGGGTGATCTATCTACTACTAAGTGCCCACAAGAGGTGAGGAGAGGCGACTGTGTGTGTGTGTGTGAGGGTTGGGGGCGTCACCTTGCGGCCTTCTCTTCTGTCCAAGCAGGCATGTAGGCATGCCACCATGTCAGCTGGGAGGGGCTGCATGGCGATCAGGGAGTACAGGGGGCACAGCGAGGATTGGGACGGTTCATAGTGAAGGGTGACTGCGACGGCGAGACGAGGAACAGGAAACCACTGCTGCTGCTGCTGGGAAGACCTTACAGATGTGCCGAGGCATGAGTGATGGGGGGTGCACATGCTAGTGAATCATGCTGCTGACATAGATGCAGTGAGGAAAAAAAAATGGCTGGCAATGTATGGCATGGGTGAATGGTAGTGCATGGCCTTGTTCACCTTGCGATAGTTGATGTTGATGTTGGCGGTGAACCCAGGACCCAGGTTCAATGTGGCTGCACCGTGCACGTGACAGGGAGAGAACGGAGTGTGACGATTGAACGAGCATGGATGTGGTTACGAACATGCATGCTAACGCATGCGCAAATGGTGCATGTAGGCAACTGTGCATCTTCAAAATGAATGAACGCCGTGCCTGCATCTCAGTGGCACCTGCCCTCTCGCCTTGTATCCTCGCCTGTGTCCTGTCTCGGCTCCCCCACGCACTCACCGAACAAGAGACCGAATGTCTCGTCAAACGCAAAGGCGGTGGCGCCCCCGTGGACTATCTCCGGATGCCCCACCATCAACCTGGGTGCCGTGGCATGGGGATGGAGGCAGGCGAGCTAGGGGTGCGGGTGAGGAGGCAGAAGTACAAGTGACTGGAGCAACAACATGCGAGGAGAATTGAGTGAGCGGCCATGGGTGAGGAGAGGGGAAGGGGAGCGGGGGGAAAGGTTTGAATAGGAGTGGATACGAGAACCGGATATGTGCAGCTGACCTGCAGAAGCTCCAGGCGCTGTAGAGGGCACTTTGAGATGGCATGAGGTAGAAGCGCACTGGCTGCACTGCTTGACTCGCCTCCAATGCCTCGCGCTGCCATCGCACCACAGCCAAAGTCACAATCATCACAGCCAACACAGCCAGAACACGCATCAGTGCCAGCCAGCAGCGTCACCATCACCAGCAGGGCAGCCAAAGTGCCATGTGATGCCACACGTTTCACACCATACCATCCGAACCGTGTCGCTCAACATCGCCGTCACCAAGACATGGGCTTAGGTTGTGCCAGCAACCCAAGCCATGGTACAGCAGTCACAAATGCCATTACAGCCACGCGCGTCACGCCCAGAAGGACGCGCACGCAGATTACATGTGAAGGTTCTCAAGCCACACAGGCCAAGCATGAGCTTCCGCCGTCCGTGCTGCAAACAAGCAGCAGGCATCACACGACACCATGGTCATGCGCGCACCATGGTGATGTGCGTCCATTTCCACGCCTCGCCGAAGTCCGTCCGATCGCACAGCCACTGCTTCACGTCCCGCGTGAACTCCACGCCTTCTCGCCGCCGCACCTCCGCTTCCCACCGCTCCTCGCCGTCTGCGCCACGTGAACGAATCAAAGAGAGCGTACGGATAGCGAGTAAGCGACTTGGGCGTAATGGTGGTGCCTGACAGGTCTAGTAGGGAGTTCGGTATCAATTTCCAGAAATGGCTAAAAGTCAAAGTCGCGTGGGGTTCAGCATCATTAGAACCACTGACACCGCCGGGAGACGACGAGAGATAAGGGAAATACGGTAAGCTGGGTGAAATTAGGCTGAGCCAGGAGCACTAATGTGGGAAAAGGTGGCATCTACAGGTCGTAGCCGGCACCTGAGAGCCGCTCGCTGCTCCACGCCTTGGCGAAGCTGTGCGGGCCTTCTCGAGGAGCCATTGCCACGTGGTGTGCTTCGCCTTCCGCTATCGTCGCAACCGGTCCCTGTCGCTCGTAGTAGTCGCCTGACACTTCCGCCATCTAGCTGGTATGCCGTTCCGCGGAATGAATCAACCACCTGTTGCTAACCAATCTTTGCTGCTCGAAGCTCTACTGCAGACTTCGTTGAGAAGCCGACGGCGAGGGTTGTATCGCTGCCAAATCTGGTGAAACTGCTAAAAATTACCAGACTTGAGCGGAAAGCGGATTGAGCAAATGAGGCAGGCCAATGAGCTTATGCAGCAGCCCAGAACCAGAGGAACACAGCTCGCCAAAGAATGCGGGCTGGGGAGTCCCAAACATACCTGAGGTTTGCAAGGCGACGCGATACGTGAGGCGAAGCGATCAAACCGCTTGCGCGAACTCCTCTATTCAAGTGGTAACAGCTGCCCAGTAACCGGATGATGGTTTCCCATATTGAAGTTTCGTCTGATCTCGCCGAAGCTTCAACAACCTGGTGCTGACGCCATCCAGAGTCATGACAGGTGGAGAGGAATCGCCCTTCGTCGGTCACACATTCGTGCTGCTGCGACACTTTCTGCGAACCTGAACCTGCGTTTGCTGACGTGTGTGGCGCACAAGTTGCGGTCAGCGTGCGCCACCAAACCGTGCACACGTCATGTCCGTCCTCATTGCAAGGTTTTTAGAAGTCTCAATCTACAAGTAATAAACAACACATAGATCGGAAATCAAACAGTAAACTTGGCGGAATCAGATAAGCTCAGCTACTACGGTGGAGAAACGCCACACCACAAGTCTCACCCCACCTCAAAAATTTGTTTCCTTCCTAATGTGCATGGCACCACTAAGGCAGATGTACGTTTTCCCCAATAGTGGCTCCAAGCACGGCTGCTGGTTCTATTGACAGCTAGTGGACTAAGGTTGCTGACACATACAACCAGGATAGGGATTGGCAAAGAAGTTGTCCTCCAGCTTGGGGATCTCTCCCACCCTCCTTTCCCTAGGCATTCCCAGTCGATATGGCCCGTGTGCTCTTCGGATGGCCGTTCTTGTCTCGTTCCATGTGGCATTTCCAGATTGATAGGCGTCCAGAGCAGTGATGATTGCAACCCTACATGCGGTCACAGAAGGAGGTACCAACGCATGACAAGGATAGAGGACCATGTGTCACGTTGGCCTGGCTGAGCTTGCAGGAAAACAAGGCAGTCATTCCAGCCAAAGCAGCGCACGAGTGATAAATGACAGCATAAATCCACATCTCACTTGTCAGGGTCGATGGTAGGCATGTGTGTGTGGAACCGCCGGTGCCCTTGTACCACTTTGGCCATGTTGCCCTCATATGTGAACACAAACGCATCACTCTGTACCGAGACCTCGTGGTCCACAGCTGCCAGGCGGTTCTGGAATGGCAGCAGCGGGGCGAGCTGCGATGGCGGCAGGATGGTGGAGTGCGAGAAGGTGTTGGGGAAGAGTGCCTCCAGGTCCTGGGGGGGCATGAATGGCAGGGGGGACACAGCAGGGGCAAGAGGAATGAGTGTGGATAACCGCATGAGCATGTTGGACTAGAGAAAATTCTCCCATGAGCATGTTGGATTAGAGAGCAAATAGAGCATAGCACTCTAAGCAGGGGAACAGATGAGATCAGCTGCTGATACGGTGGCGAAACGACATAGGCAAGGTAAGAAGTGGGAAGGGCCTTCTCACCTTGAGCCCCCTGGAGCCGTAGATGGCCCCAGCAGCCACGTAGATGACGGTGTCATTGCCGAACCCCAGCGCGCGCAGCATGAGCGCGGTCTCGCGCGGTGTGAGCGGGCAGAGCCCGTCGCGGCGCTTGCTCTCCCCGTCGATGTCCTTCTCCTTCCACCGCGCCACCGCCATGCGCATCGCCCGCAGCTCCTCACTCTCCTGCTCGCTCAGCCCGTGCGCGCACCCCGTGAACGCCAGCATGTCCTTCTCGTACCTGGTGCATCGGGGGAAGAAAGATGAGGTGAAACGGGGGGTTACGGGGGATGGAGATAAGCAAAACTTGGGACACGCATGCACTGCACCTGCAGGCCACCCGTTTAGCTGCAGTGCATGCACCACACAATACAACGCGTCCCACAAATCACACACTTCATACATGACACGCCGCGGGCCACCCTGCTGCCCCACCTCAAGTGCAGCGCCATGAAGTGCGGGCCGCGCTCCCTGAGTCTTCGCACCACCTCCCGTGCCACGGCCTGAATGGGCTCCGTGTGGGCCAGAGCCTGCTCGTTGGCCCGGCACCGCAAGCGCTGCACCCAGGGGGGCAGGCGGTTGTTGGCGAGGCGCGAGTCGGAGAGAGGGAAGGAGAGCACCTGGTGTTGCTTCAGCAAAGGTAGCATCTGATTTCTGTAATAGGACGCCTGCGGGATGCGCAGCGAGCGGAAGCATGCGAACGGGAGGGGAGAAGAGGGTAGGGAACAGGGAGGTTGTTTGTAATTGCTGCTGGTGAGGTGGGATGAGTGCAGGATGGTGGAGAACGTTGAGAGTTTGTAGGGAGGAAGAGCTAGGTAGGGTGTGGTGGACTCACGTTAGACCAGGATATGGGCTGGATCTCTAGCGGCTCCACTGACTGCAAGTGGGCAGGCAGTGACCGCACTATACGAATGTCTGGCTGCAGCTCTCTAATGAATCGCTCTGTATCGAAGATGTCCGAAAACTCGCTGGATGGGGGGGGGCAGAGGGTAATGGGTACGGAGAAGAATTTGCATATGAATCATGGCCAATTAGAGGAAAGTTGTGGTTGAGGCTGGGTGATGTAGAGACGAAAGGCACGGTACGCCATGTCAGTCAATGGCATGGCATGGCATGGCATGGCATGGCAACGCAAGGCGCACCTGGGGTCGGCCCAGTAGGACGAGTTGTCGAGGCGAGGCAGCAGCAGCGTGGCATTCATGAGGCGAGCCACGGCCACCATGTCACAGATCTGCGGTTAGACGACGAGAGATGAGACGACGAGAGACAAGAGCAGAGGAACGAGAGGTTAGAGGTGCATGGGAGCCATGGAAAGGGGAGGGAGGAGAGGAAAAGGACATGAGGAGAAGGACCACGAGAGTTGAGGGCTCACCGCTGCTCGCATCTGGTTGAGTCCGCCATTGGCCCTGACCACCAAGTAGCCGTTGGTGTGTGCTGTAGGGACTGCGACACGAGGTGGAGGGGCGAGGAAGAATGCATGCGGGGAGGACGGGAAAGGAAGCAATCATCCCTGATTCCAGTGCCTTCCGTCCAGCCTTCCACCCACCAGCATCTCGTTCTCACAAACTCCCTAACCTCCAGCCTTTCTCCTCCCCTCACTGGCTCTCTCACTCTCGCTCCGCCTCTCCCACTCTTCCTCTCGCGCTACCTGCGTGCGTCTTGGACCGCTCGATGCACTGCGTCAGCAGCGCCGGCAGTACTGCCACGCCCGCGGCTCCTCGAACCCGCGCCATCCACTGCCACCCCTCATCGCTGCGCCCCGCGCGCACCACAGCGGCTTCATAGTCCGCCTCCTTCCCCGCGTCCCCCCTTGCCACCACCTCCGCAGCCGCCCCCACCGTTGCTGCAACACCCGCTACACCTCTCGTTTCACCTCCTGAAGCCCCTTGCATCTCCCCTCCTCCTTTCGCTTCCCCTCCTACCCCCTTTCCCCCTCCTCCCCCTCCTTCTTCTCCTCTTCTCTCTCCTCCTGACGCGCCGACTCCGCTGTTGTCCCCTTCAGCTTTCCGTCCGTGCACCTCCTCCGTTCGACCCACCACTCCGACCTGCGCTGCTACCCCTGGCTCCAACGCTTTACCGGCACGCTCTCTCTGGGAGCCACCTGAAACAGTCACAAGCACGCTGTTCTTCTCCTGCGAGCCTGGTTCGCTGAGAAGCATAGACAGGGCCATCACAGAGTCCGTCGCAGAGGACGTCGCAGAGGACGTGGCAGGAGTCGTAGTCGTTGCGAGGGTGAAGGGGTGCTGTTGCCAACGATTCCGCGCCGCCGCCGACTTCGTTATCGTCGTCGTGGTGACGTTTAATATTACACTGCACAGCACCAGCGCCAACACTCCCACCAATAGCCTCCTCCTAATGCCCCTCCTCACGACGCTAGTCGCCACTGCCATCGCCTTCCCCGTACCTCCCGCTTTCAACGCCCCCGCAACTGCCTCCACGTCACTGAGTGATACGTCATCGCCCATGAATCCACTCGCGGCCGCCGCCACCACCCACCGCGCCATCGCCGCCAAAGCGGAGCCCTCCCGCGCTCCATTCCCCGTGTGATGCCGCTTCTCCCGACGCGTCTTCAGTGGCGAGCACGGCACTGATGCAGGGCCCGGAACGGCGGAATCGGGGGGGCGGGCGCGTGCGGTATGGGCAGCGGAGTGGGCGCAACTCAAGGGAGAGGGGGAGAAGGGGGGTGCCTGGCAAAAGCAGCTGGAAGGTCCAGTTTGCTTGCAAGGGGTTGGTGCAGTCGCAGGAGGCATCGCAGGAAATGTCGCAGACGGGGCCCATGGCGTAGCGCAGGGGAGCCGGGGGGGAGGGAGCGGCGCGTCTGGACGTTGCGATGTGCGAGTGAAGGGGAGCGTGGGTGAGTCGGAATCGCGGGCGGAATTGTGATGGCAGTAGTCGACTGGGCAATCTTGCGCCGAAGAGTCGTTCGCAGTCGCGCTTGGAGTGATGCATGCTGACGACGTCAGCGACTCATTCGGCGATGATTGCGACGAGGCCTGCGAGGGGATGTAGAGAGGCAGCGAGGCGGGTTCTTGGCGAACCGTGTTGGCGGAAATCTCGGCGGTCGGCGCAAAATAATCAGCAAGCGGACGGGAGAAAGTCCAGAGGTGAGACGCGCCGTCAGCGGTGGTGCTCGGCGCGCTGTGAGTGGGGTGACGTCGAGGCGTCGCCAAGGCTGATGTTGCAGCTATTGCGAAGGGCCGGCCTATGCCCGGAATTTGTGTCGCCTTGGTTCGCGCTTTCGTCGTCGACAGGATAACCATGGCTGATCAGAGCACCTGCTTCCCCTTTCGCGGCAGTGGATTGCGCAGCTGCTTGAAGAGAGTCACGTGTCACGTGTCACGTGTATGTCGAGCTTCTCCCGCCCAATGACCGAGGACTGGGGGCAAGTCCTGCCTATAAAAGACAGCCTTACTCCGAGTCGGGAGGAAAACTGCGATGGCAGTTTTCTAAACGTGACAGCCAATACCTGATGGATTGCGAATGTGCTGAGGGGGTCAGCACAAACGATCCCTGATAGTAGGCTTTGGGGCGAGGAGAGGTATGTCGACATAAGGTTGTGAATTTCGGAGACGAGCAGATCCAGTTTGTGGCTGGCCTGCACGGGATTGGATCATTCACTTCACTAGCCTAGTTAAGCAGCTTTGACTTGGGCCCGTTGCGCGTTCCAGATGGAGAAGCCGGCTGAGACGGCTACGCGTTGGCATGGGTCATTCATGAATGACCTCTCTCGTCCAGCCGGGTTCTGTAAGGAATTTTCTCGAATTCCTTATCGGGGTTAGCACGTTCGGGCGATTTCCACGCCGGGCGATTTCCACGCTGCCGAAGCTCCTCACGTCGCCTTCGGCATTTCCATCGCCAAACCTGCACCCAACCTCGCTCGTCCGAGGTTTCCTCCTAGCTAGGCTAGCCTACATTAGTTCTCGCATTCATTGTATTCTCAGATTCATTCAGTCACAGTCTCGTTATTCGTTTACCTGCGCACTCTCTTTTACAACTCATAACACCTGGTATCAGAGCTACTTTCCTAGTTCACCCCGCTTTTCGAGGGTAGTTTGGTGGCATAGGGTGTGGTTGGTTTAGTGACTACACGACGGTTGGCTGCAGAGGTTGTTAATTCAATCCTGCCCGACTCCGATAGTTCGTGTTTTCACTTGCCGGGTGGCCACGGGTACCCAACTGCCCACCAGACGTAGTGCTAGACACATGGATCAGGAGGCTGTTAACCGACTGATGGCGCAAGTGGCAGAAATGGCGAAGGGTATGGAATCGCTGCAAGCGGAAGTGACAACGCTGAAGGAGGAAAACGCCGAGCTACGCCGGACGCGAGGTGAAGCGCGTCAGACGTCGCCTGTGGACGAAGGCGAGGGCAACAGCCAAGTGATGGGCAATCCTCTGGACGAGCTCACACGTGACTTCGAAGAAGAAGATAGGCAGCGAGCGGCGGCAGCGCCAGTTGCAGTTACGACGATCAAGATCAAGCCCGTCAACCCGCCCCCGTTTAATCCTACGGACAAGACGACTACAGTGAAGGGGTGGCTGTTCGGGGTTGAAGTCTTCTTCACTGCAGCCGGAGTTAATGACGATGCCACGCGCATTAATTACGCAGTCTCGCTTCTTCGAGGTGCAGCACTTGAATGGTGGCGCCGGACCTTGGAAACAGGGACGTCGACAGGTGTGACACATGCGGCAGACGGGACCTCTACAGTGGTTAATCAAGTTGCAGAACCGATCTTCGGTGTGACCAAGATACGCACATGGAAGGAGTGGGGCGCAGCCTTACGGGATCGCTTCGAGCACATATCCGCCTCGGAGCAAGCTCGCATGAAGCTGCGTGCATGGTCGCAGATGGGATCTGTCCAAGACTACACGGCGTCATTTATGGGCTTCGCCGACCAAATCGATGACATGTCGGAAGCTGAGCGGTTGGATAAATACGTGAGCGGCCTTAAGTACGAGATACAGTTCGAAGTTCGCCGCAGCCGCCCGACATCGTTCCTCGAAGCAGTACGCGTGGCAGAGTCAACGGATGCGCTGATGCAGTACGCGAGAACGGCTTCCAGGGATGGGAGAGGTTTTCGTGGCCAGACCCATCGGGCCACAATCAACGCCGTCCATACACCCGACCGCCCTCCTAAGGGTCAGTGTTTCCGGTGTGGGAAGGTGGGTCACTGGAAGAACGAATGCAAGGAGAAAATGCCGCTGACAGAGAACGACGGAAAGGAGCAGGGAAATGGGAAGAGT